CCAGAGCCCCTCACCCCAAACACACACACACACACACACACACACACACACAGTAGAATAGATAGGCAGAGAACAATAAGGAAAGCTTAGAACAGACAGGAAATGGTCAGCATAGACTCACACATACCTTACTAGGTAGGACACAAAGATTAATTATTCCTCACTAGGGTATTGAAGATTTCTCTGCACACCCCTCCTAAAACTGTTCTGCACCTCAACTGTTGACATATGCTTTGTTAGAGTTATAACCCAGTTTAGACTATCCTAAAATCTGCCAAGTTCAGCTAAATTATGCTTCAACACTATAAACTGCTAAATACTAAAATGAAAATAGACAAGAGACAGCTGAATAGTACCCTATAGCTACTTTATTGTGTATAGCAGCCGGTTCTGTGTATAAACTAAAATTGAAATGTCAATGAAGAAGTCACAGGATGTGGTTAAGAACTTGCTTTTTTTTTCTTTTAACATATTGGTTACTCAATACCATGTAAATTAATTTCATAATGTTGTAAATTGTTGTTAATGTTATGTTGTGGCTTTAAATTGATCTGGATGATATTCTGCCAGCTGTGCCTTCAGACCAGAGATGGTCTCTCCAAGAAACCGTTGAATTTATCTGGACAATAAGATGCTGGACTCTATGCTTGTTATATGCTTGCAATGAAAGGATCTTGACTGAAATTGAACTGTAATACTGCAACAAGGTGGAGGAATCCACCATGGGGGGAGGGTACGGGGAAACTATGAAACTGTGAGAGCCTATGAAACTGTGTCACATAATGCAATGAAATTAATAAAAAATACATATGTTATAAAAAGAATTTTCTCCCTCTGTCACAGTGTAAGCCTTAAAAACCTAGAATGTTGAGGGCCTTGTGTGATGGCTTAGTGGCTAAATCCCCACTCGGATGCCATATGGGTACCAGTTTGTGTCGCAGCTGCCCACATCCCATCCAGCTCCCTACTTGTGACAGTGGAGGATGACCAAAGCCTTGGAACTCTGCGCTCATGTGAGAGACATATATATTATTGCAAAATCAGATATACAGAGAGGAGGAGAGACAGAGAGGAAGATCTTCCACCCACTGGTTCACTCCCCAAGTAACCGCAATGGCCGGAGCTGTACTGATCTGTAGCCAGAAGCCAGGAGCTTCTGGGTTACCCATGCAGGCACAAGGTCCCAAGGTTTTGGGCCACCCTTGACTGATTTCTCAGGGCATAAGCAAGGAGCTTGATGAGAAGCAGGACTGCTGGGACATGAATCAGTGCTCATATGGGATCCTGGTGCTCGCAAGGTGAAGACTTCAGCCGCTAGGTTACCGTGCCTGGCCCTGGACAGAAAATTTTTTTCTCTCTGTAAATATTCCTTTCCAATAAAAATAAATCTTTTTTTTTTTTTTTAAGATTTATCTTATTTTTATTGCAAAGTCTGCTATACAGAGAGGAGGAGAAACAGAGAGGAAGATCCTCCATCCAATGATTCACTCCCCAAGTGACTGTAATGGCTGGACCTGAGCCAATCCAAAGCCAGGAGTCAGGAGTCAGGAGTCTCTTCTGCATCTCTTACGTGGGTGCAGGGTCTCAAGGCTTTGAACCATCCTCAACTGCCTTCCCAGGACACAAGCAGGGAGCTGGATGGGAAGTGGAGCTACTGGGACTGGAACTGGTGCCCACATGGGATCCCAGTGCATTCAGGGCAAGGACCTTTAGCCACTAGGCCACAGTGCTGGGCCCAAAAATAAATCTTAAAAAAAAATCTGGGATATCAAAATGTCAGCCCAGCATTCCCTTCTAGCAGTGGACAACCACAGTTTGTTATTCCGCTGTCTTTTTTTCTTATCTCCCCTCTGTCTCAGGAATGATGCTTCTTCCTTATGGGATATCTCAGTACACCTGATTTGAGGGAGGTGAACATGGCCTCCATCCATGTTACCAATGTTAGTCTGTGGGGGAGAAGGCATTTGGCACAGCAGGTAAGGTGGTAAGGTGCTGTGTGTGACACCTGCACTCTACCTAGGAGCACCTGAGTTCAAGCGCTGGCTGAGTTCCTACTCAGGACAGGAGCTGCTTCGTGGTCACCACAGACACCGGGAGAAAAAGACAGGCTTTCACATTCGTTGGGTTTTTGTGTCTAAAATTTCCCAGTAAATCCATTTTGCTCCTTACATGTTTTTTTTTTAAAGATTTATTTTACTTATTCAAAAGGCAGAATTACAGAGGGAGAAAAAGATCTTCCATCTACTTGTTTAGCCCCCAAATGGACGTCATGGTCTCTCATTTCAATTTGGCCTTTGTATGCTCCAACAAGCGACTCCCCAAGACTTCCCCTGACGCTCCAGTCCAGTGAATCACCATAATAAAAGCATTCATCGGTCACATCTCACTGTCAGTGCTGCAACAGTCGTCTGCGCGGGTCCTTCCATGTTTCTAGATTTTTTGACTTCCTATATTTTCTCTCCTTTACCACCACCAAGTCCAGTTGCTAATTTTGGTCTCTATGTCCCAGGCTCTCCCTTAACCTTGGAAGGGTTGACCTTAGCCACATATGCAGCTTATTATATACTGATTGTTCTTCCTTTTGGGGAGTGGGTAGTTAGTGAGAGGTGGGAAAATTGCCTCTGTGCCACCTGCTGGTCATATCTGATGGTTGTGGGCAAATGAGTATCCCTATACAATCCAACAAGAATTTCTCAGTGCCATCTAACATCCATCCTATGCTTAACTTCCTCCAGTTGCCTCAAAAATATATTTTTTGCACTGTTAGTTTGAGTCAAGATTCAAACAAGGTTAATGCAGTATTCGTCTTTTAGGTATCATTTACCATGAATGATGCTATTAGAAAAGATTTTGTGAAAATATGGAAAAACTTTAATTTCATTGTCGCTGAGCAGTTTTCCAAGGTGATTGCGTCAGATTCACTCCTGTAGCATTTATAAGGACTCTATCTCCAACTTTTGGAATTGTCAGAAATTTTCTTTTGCCTGTTTGGCAGTAAGTCCTATTGTTTAAAACAATGATATGAGCCAGGTATTCAGATATTCTATTATCACCATGTGTGAGATGTAAACATTTCATTCTCACTGGAGATAATCATACACTCTCAGAGAACATGAAAGTCATGATGCTAGTGCCTGAGAATGCCAGGGTTTTCCTATTATATATTTAAGAAACAATGAAGAATATATACAATTACATATTTATTTCCTAGGAAGGATATGATTGGTACTGACTTCTTGCACACATATGAACCCAAGAGACTAGCAGTTGGTTCCACTCTGAGGCGCGTCAGAAATCCTCTGACTGCTTTGCTTCCTTATTAGTATCTGGCCTGGCATGCGTGCTGATGACACCATAATGTTTTGTTTATTGGGTCAGCTAATGTCACTTACACTTTAGGAGGCAACCACTTTGAGGCAAAGTAACACTTAGATGATAAAGGTTAACATTCTAGAACAATCTTTTGAGATCACAGAGATAAAGGTCTTTAGATTTTTCTATACACTTTCTTTGTTCATGGGGATGTGTGGGCTTTGCTTACTGTTGTAATATTAACACCACAACTAGGCTAACACCTGATATGCTTCTAGCTGATTCCTGGTTGCTAAGAGCATGCAAACATTCCTCAAGGGCACAGTCATTTTGTACAAAAATGGAAGGTCATTTCTGACCCATTTTGGCATTGGGGTGGAAATCTGGGAGAGAGAAGTACGCACCAATATAAATTCTTCTTGAAGGGACAAGGAGCAATATGTTTCATATCATGCCACAGAATAACTGGCAAAAGATTGTAAAGCTCTTTTTCCATTTTGAGCACATTTCACATAATGGAAGTTCCAGAGAACAGAATGAGCTCTCTTAAGAGTGTGAAGAATGATATCCTACAGTGCTGTTACATTTTAGAGAAAGCTCTAAAAAGAAAGGCAAGTCAACAAAACTACAGATTTTGAACTTTCATTCCAGTAAGGAAAAAACCTATGCAACGTGTCAGCCACCTTAATCTATATTCCATCACAAGGTGCAAGCTTTTGGCTTCCATTTTCCTCTTACAAAACAATGACATCTTCAGAACCGGAATAGCTTTTGAAAACACAGCTTCTGATCAGTGTTGGCAGAACTGGTGCACTCCTAGAATAAATTCTGTATGCTCAGCTCTCCCCACCCAAATTCATCCCTAAGTGGCAAAATCACAAAACTACCGACCACGAAATGGGCTGAAGAGTAGTCTAGACATGACTACAGAAGGCTTACGTGTTTAGTAGCAAGGTGACACCGTAAGTTTTTTTTTTTTAAACAAAAACAAAACAAAACAAAAAAACCCCTCATGCCTAAGGTCAAATCTCTAGTCCAAAGCAGACTGCGATAATAACCGTAATAATGAGTGGTAGCACCTGACTTAAGTTTCAACCCGAGGAGCTGGTGTAAAGGGGAAACAGTACACAAAAGAAAACTTTGATATTCCTCCGTCCCTGACAGGCGAGTTTCGGTTCTATAAATCGTAATGTCCTTGCCAAATCTCATCCCACGGTAGGAGGAAACTCGAGTTTCTCTTTTCCAAATTAGTAATGTGAGAAGCCTTCCCGGTCCCAAAGACCGCAGAGCAGTCAAAGGGGGAAGTTTTACCTGGCCCCAAGGGTGTGAAAGTGGGTTTGATGCGGAAAAGACATCCGAAAGGACAAAAAAAAAAAAAAAAGCAAAACCTGTAAACCGTATACCTGTGATTGGAAGATAAAACAGGAGCAAAACCCCACACGGACTCAGGTAGGAAAATCAACAATCGTGGTCGGGTCTACACCTGAGCGACGACTCACCCTGGAAACGAGGAGGAGAGCGGGCGGGGGCGGGCACGACGCGGCGGCTAGCGGCCGGCAGGGTGCCCCCCCAGCGCCATTTGCCGCGCCCCCACTCCTCCCTCAGGCTCCCGGCGCGCCAGCCAATCCCCTGACGCCATCCCCTTCCCATCGCAGGCCCCGCCCCCGAGGCCGGGCTGGAGGGCCCCCGCGGCGTGACGCGAGCACGGCGGCTCCGCCCCCTGCGTCTCCGGCCTCGCTGGCCTTTGGGGGGTGGGGGGCATGGTTCCATCATGGCGTCAATGCAGGTGAGAGGAGTTTGCTGCATCTGGGCGGGCCAGGGAGCCGCCGAGGGGGTGCGAGCGTTCGGGGAGGGTTGGCGTCCGCGTCTTGGGGATACCCGGGCGGGCGAGGGAGCCGTCCCCCTTGGCCGGTCTCCCCCCATCTTGAGGGCATGGGGTGGGGTGAGAGGCGGCGAGAGGAAGGGCGGGTGGTGGTTAAGTGTGTGTATGTGTGGGGGGGAGGTGGTTCTTCGATCGGTCGAAGCGGACACCAGCCGGCCGGGAAGTTGAGGGGCGGGGGATAACGCAGGCTGAAGGGAAGAAAGGGCGACGTTTGGGGTGGGCTCGGCGGCGGTGGTCTCGGAGTGGCCCCGTCCGCACGCACACACGGCCTGGCCGGCCGGCCGAGGGTCCCCGGCGCGGCGGAAACAGCTGCGCCCTCCGGAGTCGCCGGGGCCGGGACGGCCCTGAGAGGGGCTGGAGTGTCGGGGATCCGAGTCGGCGTCGGCCGCGGACGGGGCTCGGCGGCCTCTGCTGGGGCCTCCCACGCCCGGCCTGCGGGACTGCTTCGCCCCTTCGCTCTCTTCCCTTGGACTCTTGTTCCTTTGCCCCGTGGGTACCTTGTCCTTGCGGCCGGCCGCGGCAGTCCCACGAGCATTCCTGCAGCAGGCCCCTTCCTCGGACGCCAGCCAGCATCCTTTGCCGCCTAAGATGCAGTCTCCGGAGGGTCGAGACCCCGGTTCCCCGACACCTCTCGGGATACCTCGCCCTCTTTTTTTTTTTTTTTTCCCCTTCTTACGTCGCCCCACCCTTGCGGTCGCAGGGAAGCTACAGCTCTTTGCCCTTCTTTCCCAGTCCTTTGGTGAAACCCTAATTTGGTCGGAGGTGTTTGTTAACCCGCGGTCTATCCACCTGACTTGGCAATGCGTGGTTTTCTGGCTCCGCAACTTAATGCACTCCTTTTTCCAAATGTAGTTTTTTTTTTTCACCAGGCAAAGATGGCAACCACAATAGTAGTTTCGTAGCGATTGTCTGCATAATCTATAGCCCGCATTAAGTTCACAGATACGGTTAGCAATATCCAAACCTGTAGGAAGCGAAAGCAGAACTTTCTTCGGGAATATCAGCTGAAGTCTTTTTAGACTTTTAATTACATTCCCCTAAGAAAAAGACCACGTTTTTCTTAGGAAGGTTTTTTTTTTTTTTGCTTTTTGTTTGTTTGCTTTTGTCTCTAGAAGAATAAGCCTGTTTCTGTCTTCTCCGTTGTTTTCCTGTTTTCTGTGCTTGATGTGGTTTTCTGCCTTAGGTTTTCATCATCTTCCTCTTTTGAGCAATTTGTGTGTGTGTGCATGCGTGCGTGCCTCACATTGTCCTTCTGTGTCTTTATGCTCTCCTTCCAACCTGTGCTCCCCTGGTTCTGCTCTCTCTCTGCACTTCTCTGTGAAACAGAGGTAGAATATATTCTGTCTGATTAGAGATGTCTTGAGATCGTGTGTGTGTGTGTGTGTGTGTGTGTGTGTGTGTGTGAGAGAGGGTGAGAGAAAGGGGGAGGGGAGAGAGAGAGATGGGGGGTGCTCAACAATTTGAGGAAACGCTATACTGTATGCCAGCCTCCCTAGAGGCACTAGAGAAGTTTCCTCACTAGAGGCCAGAAAAGGAACTGTGGGCCACTAGTGGAATAGCAGATATGTTATATGAGTGATGTAAGATTATGCTATAGCAACTATTACTTATGTATACTTGATTATATTAAGGAGCAGATGGAATATTGCTGTGACCAGTTCAGGATTATTAATTGTGTTAATATGTTAAGACTGGAACTCAACACACTAGTGATTATATTTGACAAAAAAGGAGAGTGTACATGAACTACATTTAGACTTGAAGTATTTGGATTGGTTTTCAAGAGAGACGGTGATAATCTTGAATTTGACATGGTGACTTATGCAGTGGGAAAAGTACTTGTCAGTACTGTGGTGTGTTTTCCCTTGTCTTGCATGATACATCATATCACCTTCCTTGATTCCTTTGTGCTTGGAGGAATTGAAAATGTTCTTCTTGCTTTAATTGAAATGAAATTTTAACTTTATGTGTGTTTAAAAATATGAGATTTACTGATAGTATCTTTAAAAGTATTTTAATGTGATAAATACTCTTTCAAGCCATACTATTTTTTGTGTAGTTATTCTGTGTAAAGAATTTGTTTCCTGATCCTATTTAATAGCATAGTTTAGCTCTAAGGAACAACTAGATTGCACAACTGACTTTGTTCACTCAGTAAGTATTGTTTGAGGGCCCTCTGTGGCACAGGCATTGATTTATTTAGGTGCTGGGGATAGATTTCTGCCCTTGCAGATTTAGTAGCCTGTGTGGAGGAACTAGTATTAAAATTTTTAAAGCATTGATTAATTAGTTGCAAAAGCAGAGCATCAGAGGAAGGGAGAGTCAGAGATAGCTTCTATCCACTTGCTCACTTCCCAAGTTACCTGCAACTGCTGGGTCTGGGCAAGGCTGAAGCCAGGAGCCAGGAACTCTGTCCAGATCTGCTACAACAGTGGTGAGGAGATTAGCATTTGGGCCATGTTCTGTTGCCTGTCCAGGTGTGTTAGCGGAAAGCAGGTCCAGAAGAAACCAGCTGGAGCTTGAACCTTTTATGTGGAATGCTGGCATTATCCCATTGTGCCCCAGCACTAGCCCCAAAAACAAAGTTGAAGTTAATCATGTGTTCTATTAGAAGATGGTGGTGCAATAGAAAAAAGGTACAAAAGGATGTTAGGAAGTTGCTGTTTGGGAATTTCAGTAATAGTAGTTAGGAAAAAGTGTGTAGTAGTACGACTTCCATGGGATTTTTTTTCCTTTTAATCTTATACTAGTGTAAGGTTCTGAAGAAAAGGTAGCTGCAAGTCTCAAGAGGAGCTACATTTTTAAAAGTAGGCCATGTCATCAAATGTAACAGTTGATCATTTGATAAAAGAGAAATAGTCTTTAGGCTGTGTAGTAAAATGAAAGAAGCCTTTGAAGCTCGTATGAAAGAGTATGTATTTTTTTTCTCTAGTTTTATTCAAAAGAGACAGAGATCTTCCATCTGCCATTCCATTCCCTCAAATACCCTCAACAGCCAGAGCTGGTCCCACAGGAAACCAGGAGCCAGCAACTCTCTTGTAGACAGAGGGACCCAAATCCTTGAGTCATCATTTGATGTCTTTCTGGAGTGGCAGCTGGGACTCTGGGCATCAGTTGAACTGCTGGGTGAACTTGCTGTGCCACAATGCTGTTCCCGTCAAGGGGTGTCACTTTTTTTTTAAGTTTTAATATTGCTTACAGAGTTGAGAAGGAACCACACTCATGTGAGCCTCTCATTAGGGTGGGGAAGTTCAAGATATGGAGGAAGATGGGTGGGATTCTCCTGGTCTGCTGGTTGGAAGAGGAGTGGGGCTGCATTTTGCTGTTAAACTACATCAGCACCTGGGGATGGGTAATGGTCATTTAATGATGTCTTAGAGACCCCGATGTAGGGGAAGAATGTTCCGAGGGTGTTACTTGGATGATTTTGGTGGTTCTGAGACATCCTCGGGTTCATTGCATCAAGGTTGAGAGAATCCAAAATCTCTTGGCTGACCAAGTCCACCTCAATGTGCATCCATAGACCAAGGCACTTGATGCACAGCTTGGCCAGGAGAGTGGTACAGCCTCTTCTGCTTTTCATGCTCTGATAAGGCACTGGCCTAGATGAGCTGGCTGTCATGTCCCCTGTGTGTATCTGGGCATGCTGTTCACTGCACAGGCATCAGCAACTGATGAGGCTCAATCCCAATACATGCGCTCCAGAGTTGGACCACATAGCTTTGATTTTCCTTGTGGTCAGAGTCTCCTAAGAAATCTTGTATGGGGTGACCTCAGGCTTGACTCTTGTCTGCACCAGCTAGTTCAGGGATAGGTTCAGTTTGTCAGCCATTGCATGCTGGTGTATGTGACTGCCTGATCAGTTCTGCTCACAGCCTTATCTCTCACGCAAACTGATTGGTGCTGCAGCCTAGCTGAGCCCAATCCACCACAGGCCCAGTCTTCACACACCCCAGTGGGTGCAGTGGCTTAGTTAGAGCAATTGCTGATAACCCCCACCAGGCTTGCTCCCAGCCCCGGTTTTTGCGTGTACTAATGTGCTGCAGCCTAGCCAATCTGTCCTGCACCCCATCTGGTTCTTGTACACACCCATGGGTGCTGCAGCTTAGTTCAGACCTACCTGCCCCCAGCCCACATGTATGCTAATGGTTGCTGCTGCCATGACCAGCCTGGCCTGCCCCCTGCTCTGGTTCTCATGCTCACCAGTGGGAGCTGCAACCCAGCAGGAGAGTGCCCACTGTTCCCCTACCTGGTCCACTCCCAGCTCCAGATCTTGTGCCTGCCAAGGGGTACTGCAGTGCAGCCTGACATGATTTGCACCCATTCCTAGCACTTGCCAGCTTATGCTATAGCCTAGCCTGGTTGGCTCACACTCATTCTGACTCTCATGTACCAGTGGTTGTGGCAGGCTAGCCCAGCCTGGCCTGCTCCCAGATTCCGGCTAATGGGTGCTGCAGCCTTTCCTGGACCAGCCTGATCCCAATCCTGGCTCTCCTGATCACCAGTGAAGTTGTGGCCCAGCAAGGGAGTGCCTGAGGTTCCCCTACTAGGCTCAACTGCCAGGCTTATCTACCGGGCTCACTCTGAATCCTGTTGTTGTGTTTGCCAGCAGGTACTTTGACCCAGAGTGGCATGGCTGCCCCGAGCCTCACCTTTGCTGATTGGTGCTGCATGCTATCCCAGTTGAGCATGAGCCACACCTGTCCTAGCTCTCATGTGTGCCAACGAGTGCTGTAGCCTGGTCTGTCCCCGCCTAACCAGTCCCAGATCCAACTCGCACAACGCCTACAAGTGCTATATCCTTGCCTGGTCTGGCCTGACCTGGCTTGGCCTTCCTCTCCCCACCTCCAGCCCCAGCTTGAGTACTCCCCAGTGGGAGCTGCTGCCTAGCAGGGGAATTACCCAAGTTTCTCCTACCAGACCCTCTCCCAGCCCTGCATTTCATCCATGCCAGCAGGTGCTGTGGCCCTGCTTGGCATAGTTTGCCCTCAGTCCTGGCCTTTACATGTGCTGATGGGTGCTACAGCCTGCCCCAGCTTGGCCTCCTCCAAGCCCTGGCTCCCATGAGTGTCAGGTGAGTTCTGTGGTCCAGCTTGACCTTTTACCACCCCCAGCTCTGTACAAGCTGGCAAGTGCAGGAGTCCCACAGAAGCATGCCAACAAGCCTACAGAATCTGCCTCCAGATCCGGTTTTCTTGTGTTACTGTTTGTGCCGCAGCCCAGCCTCATGTGGTCTACTCCCTGCCCCAACATTTGTGGGCAGGTACTGTGGCCTAGCCCAACCAAGCATGCTCCCCAGCCCAAGTTTTTGTGTATGCCAGTGAGTGGTTGGCTCGGCCCATGTCTCCCACATGGGTGAGTACCTGTGCCTGACTCAGATGTGCCCTCCAGTTTCACTCTTCTAAAGCACCCTGTCTCAGTTCCCTTTCCTACCTGTGGGTGCAGTGGCTTGGTCCATGGAAGCTCCCAGAAGTCATCCCTCCTCTGTCCAGCATGCCCCCAGCTGCTCCCACTCCAATACACCACAAGACCTCCTTCCCTGGGCAGTCTGCTGCCAGGGTAGCATGTTCTGGCACAGGGTTCCCTGCCTTCTCCACAATATCTTAAAAAATTAAAAAGAACAGGCAAGTATGCTGGCACACTGATTTGGTTAACACAGGTTTGGCATTAACTAGTCCCAAAATACCTGGCTGCTTTTCTCCCAGTGGTGTAGCACTTGCCTGCATACAAGGTAACTTAGGCAGTTGCTTACAGCTGCGGAAGGGGTGTCTTATCCATCATGCCAAATTCTGACCTCAAGGATGTATTTTAAGTTGAAGTTGTAACTGCTTTAATTGCTGTGTTCTTTCAGTGCTTCTCAGTCTTTTGTCACACATAAACCTAAGCTTTGAGTAGTGCACTAGAGTGGCCTCAGTCACTGGAGGCTCTAAGTACCTGGCCGTATCAAACACCTTAGATGTCAGATCATTCTGTCACACATAGATGTTGTGAGAATTCTCTGTTATGTGGTCACGATAGTGATTTTCACACTTACATTAGTCCTTTGAGACATTCTTTCCCTTGTTTTTATCTTTTTTTTATTTCTTCCTACTGTTTATTCCTAGAATAGGCATGAATCACCAAGTAAGATTAGTTAGATTATCCTTTAAGAAACCATTTTTTAAGAGCATGGTACACTCATGATGATACTGAAAATTTGGCAGGAATTAGAGTAAAGAAATAGATCCATATTTAATTTTGATAATTTCAAGCATCTTAAAATATTAAATGGAAAGTAGTTTGTAGCAATTTTAGTTTGAACATTAGACTGGATTATTTGGCCCAACTTAATCTCCAAATTGCAAATGAATTATCTTATTAAAATGAATTTTTATGTGACTTAAAATATTTCTTTATAGTGCAGCAAATTCACTGTTTTGTTTTTAGCTAAATCATTTTCTCTTATTTTTGTGAGATTGGGAGAAACAGATCTTTGATAAAACTGGTTCACCACCCAGATGCCTGTAGCTGGCGCTGAGCCAGGCCAAAGCAAGGAGCATAGAACTTAGTCCTGGTCTCTCAGTTGAGTGGTAGGGACCCGAAGAGTCGAGCTCCCACCCGCTGCCTCCCAGGGCACACATAGTAAGGGAGGCTAGAATTGGCAGCAAAGCCACAGCTTGAACCCAGGCACTTGTATAGGAGATGCAGATGTCTTAACTGCTTCACCAAATACCTGCTCCTCGGCTAAATCTTTTTAAAGGTTTATTTATTTGAAAGGCAGATTTACAGAGAGAGGAGAAAGAAATATTCCATATATTGGTTTGCTGCCCAAATAGCTGCAGTGGCTATAGCTGGGCTAGTCTGAAGCCAGGAGCCTGGAACTTCCTTAGGCCCCAGAGACTTGGGCCATCTTTCACTGCTTTCTTAGGCACATTAGAAGGGACCTGGGTCAGAAGTAGAGCAGTCAGGACTTAAACATGTGCCCCTGTGGGATGCCAGTGCCGCAGGTGGAGACTTAAGCTGCTACAACACTACTCTGACTTCTCCTTTGCTCACTTTGTTTTATTTTCTGTATTGGGTTTCTTTATTTAAATTTTTCCCCTTGCTGTGACTATTTCTTATTGTGAAGCACTTAACTATTTTGACCTCCTAGGTTTTTTTTCCAATTTTATAATTTGGCTGTTTAATTTACACTTAAGTTAGAAGTTTTGAAGTATACCTGGTATACTTTTCCACTGTATTCATTTTACATGTGGGCAGCCTCTATGTCTTAAGATCTTAGAAACACATTGTGTAAGCTTATGTTTGTCAGCTCTAAAACAGAGGCATAATCAAAAAAAATATTTGAATTACTGTCATGTACTACATACATCATGGCATTTCAGGCATGGTTCACAATGCAAAGTACTCCTGTAGTATATTGCCTGTTGAGGTTGGTGTAGTTGTCCTAGTGTGCATAAATACATTGTAAGATGTTAACAGTGACAGAATTGCCTAAAGATGAGATTTTCACGATGTATCCTCTTCATTAAGCAACACATCTATACTTCTATGAATTTGTTTCTGTTGCAAAGCTAGGTGTTGGATTAATGATCCAAGCCACATTAAGTGGTTAGATACAAGGAGGTTGAGATAGAGTGAATGGGTGCTTATTGTTCAGAGCACTTAGACATAATTAACTTGGATTATTGACAGCTCTGCATTGCTTTTTACCTAACTGGCCATGGTTAGTGAGAGAAGTGGTGTTAGGGTTCTTACTGGCATTGCTATTAAAGCAGTGGTTACATTGCCTTAACAATTAGATGCTACATAGCCATTGGTGAATGTCATGAAGGATGGTAGTATAATCAGAAGTAGAAAATTGACTGTCATCTTAGATTCTGAGGCTCACTCATTATAGGGAACCTATGGAGTAAGGCAGCGTTATGATATCTGAGAAGGTTAGCTAGATTATTAATAATATCTGCATTAGGTTATCAGAGCTTTTGAAACTAGGGGAATGGAGAATATACACCAGAAGGTAAAGGTGTTGATGTTTTTGTTTTTGTTTGATTTATTTATTTAAAAGTGTCACAGAGTGAAGAAAGAACGATCTTCACCTGCTGCTTCATTCCCCGTACGACGGCTCCTTGGGCCAGACTAGAGCCAGGTCTCCCACATAGGTAGCAGGGCCTCTGCACTTGGGTCATCTTCTGTCCTCTCAGGTGGGATACACCAGGGAGCTGGACAGGAAGGGGAGTTACCTGGACTCCAGCTGCTACCCTTATGGGATGCTGGAGTCACAAGCTGCTGTACAACCTAGTGGGCCACAGTGCTGGCCCTGACAAGGGCTGAAGCCAGAAGCTAGGAATTCTATTGCAGTCTCCCACATAAGAGGCTCATCTTTGTTGGGCCCGGCGCGATGGTGTAGTGGTTAAGGTCCTCGCCTTACACACCCGGGATCCCATGTGGGCGCCGGTTCTAATCCCGGCAGCCCTGCTTCCCATCCAGCTCCCTGCTTGTGGCCTGGGAGGGCAGCCGAGGACGACCCAAAGCTTTGGGGCCCTGCACCCGCATGTGGGAGGCCTGGAAGAAGCTCCTGGCTTTGGATTGGCTCAGCTCCAGCCGTTGCGGCCGCTTGGGGAGTGAATCATCGGATGGAAGTTCTTCCTCTCTGTCTCTCCTCTCCGTATATCCGCCTTTCCAATAAAAATAAAATAGATCTTTAAAAAAAAAAAAAGAGGCTCATCTTTGGCTGCTTTCCCAGACACGCTAGCAGGGAGTTGGATCTGAATTGTGTTTGAGTTTGGCCCTACATGGGGATTCACCTGGAAGGCAGGTGTTACAGGTGGTGTCTTAACATGCTGTGCCCCAATGTCTACTCCTGTTCAGATTTTTATTTAACTTTTCAGATCTTTTCTACCCTTGGGCCGTATACTTCATACATTTCCTCTGTCCTTGAACTGCATGTAGTGAGAACAGTAAACATTTATCAGTTGATACTTAAGCAAGCATTCCTAAATTTCCTAAAGGAAATTCTAAATTAGTTTAATTTCATTTTAGGGAAATCTATTAAACAGTTTTGTAATAGGTTGAGTACCTATTAAGGAATGACCTAAAATTCATGTTTGTAGCTAGGTTGCAAAAAGCTGGTTCTTTTTTCTTGATTTGCTTATCATCACTTAAGGGTTTTTCAAGTATTTTCATATTTCCTCTGGTTTTTGATTTTTTTTTTCTAAAATGAAGTAAAACAACTTCTGTTGTGAACAGAGTAATAGGGCCCGGGGCGGTAACCTAGTGGCTAAAGTCCTTGCCTCACATGTCCTGGGATCCCACACGGGCGCCGGTTCTTGTCCTGGAGGCTACACTTCTCATCCAGCTCCCTGCGTGTGGCCTGGGAAAGCAGTCAAAGATGGCCTAAAGCTTTGGGACCCTGCACCCATATGGGAGACCCAGAAGAGACTCCAAGCTCCTGGCTTCAGATTGGCTCAGCTCCAGCCACTGCCGCCATTTGGGAAGTGAACCAGTGGACTGAAGATCTTCCTCTCTGTCTCTCATCCTCTCTCTATATGTCTGATTTTTCAATAAAAACAAATAAATCTTTAAGAAAAAAGTAATAAAGCAGTTAGGATATATGCTCTGAACTCTGACGTCAAGTTATAGGCCTTGAACATATTAAAATGTTTATAGTATTATACAGAAGTCATCGGAATAATTATTTAATGTTTCAGTCAGGAATTAAGCATTTACTATAATATTTTATATTCCTTTAAGAAAATGAAAGGAAATATTACTATTTATAATATAAAATTACTTTATGGATCACATGTAAGAAATTGCTTACTTAAAAAATGAAGTTACATGGAGGGAGAGACAGCTCTTTCCTCTCCTGGTTTACTCCCAGTTGGCTGAACAGTCAGCACTGAGTCACAATGAAGCTTCACTTGGGTCTGCCACTTGGGTGGCAGCGATCCAAGCCTTTGGACCATCTTCCACTGCTTTCCTAGGAAGCAGGAAGCCGGATTGGAAGTGGAGCAGGCCCTTGTAGGATGTGGGTGTCGTAGGTGGTGGCTTTATTTGTCATTCCTCCGTGCTGGCCCCTATGGATCAGATTTTTTTGCTTGTACATTGAACAAAATTATGATGATAAGTTTTTAGTGTTTAAAAATATTGTCAAGAAGAATGTTGAAAGTGGGGTGATCTGACATTTTCTGAAAATAAACTCTTCTTAGTATTTACCTAAATTAAAAGCATGTTAGGTAAATTTTATTGTACCTTTATGTCATTGCTGTCTGTCATGAATATTATCTGCAAAATACTTAATGTCAGCTGTTTTAAAAATTTGATTATCTTTATTTGTGAACGTAGCTTTTGGATCAGTAACAAGTAATCCATGGTTTTGATTTGTTTTTATTCTGAGAAAAAACTGAATTCATTCATTTGCTTAAAATCCATCAAGAGGGGCCAGTGCTTTGGTCCGGATGTTTTACAGCTTCTGTAGAAATAAAGAGCATAATATGTGGAATCTAAAGAGCTGACTTCAAATCCCATTTTACTACTGAAAAAGCTGTATTGTGCAAAATCATTGTGTAACGTAGTACTTGGGACAAAAAGGTTAGCCTAGAGATAAACTTTTGTAAGGTTTTCCTTGGGTTCAGTATCGTGGCAGTTGGTAAAGCTGCTGCCTGTCATGCTGGCATCTCATATGGGTGCTACTTTGAGTCCTGGCTGCTGCACTTGTTTTTTTTTTTTTTTAACAATTTTATTTTTGATGATGTTTACTTAGTTGAAACATATACATGCCCAGTTGGACCACTGATTAGGGTGGGGAGGGTCTAAGAATAGGGGAAAGTGGATGAGACAGCTGCCTTTGGTCTCCTTTTTCTTCTTGTATCTGGGAAAAGTGGGCAGAGAGGGGAAAAGGACTGCTCCCAGCATACTCATCACATTGGTACTCCGTGATAGGGGAAGACCACTTGATGTTATTCCAGGATCTCTGATTTGGAGCTTGTTCTGAGGGTACTACTAAAGTGGTTTTGATAGTTCTGAGGTGCTGTTGATCTCATTGCTCCAAGGTTGAGGAAATTCCTCCAAAGTCCATTGGCTGACATAGTCCACCTTAGAGTCCACACTTGACCAGATACCTGCTGTAAAAGCTTGACTAGGGGGAGCTGTCCAATTTGTTCTGCTCTCTGTGGTGCTAGATGTCCTCTGCAGGCCTCAATGAACTGGTTGTCATGTCCCCCTTGCGCATTTGGGCATGCTGTCCACTGCTCAGGCTTCATGCAACCAAGGAGGCACATGTCTGATAGATTGTGTGTTTTTTCCCAATGCTTGGAGTTCTGAATACAGTGATTCTGAGTCAGTGGTTAGGGAGGGTGGTCCCCAAAGAAACCTTGCCAGAGTTACTCTGGATCTGACTTCTGTGTGTGTCAGCCAGTACGGGGTCTACTCCAGTCTATCACCCACATCAGCCTACACACACACACACACACACACACACACACACACACACACACACACACACACACACACACACAGAGTTGTAGTTGCCTGGTTAGTTCTATCCCCAGTCCGATCTCCTGTGCAAACCACTGGATATTATTGGCCAGCCCAACGCTGCCCACCACACACTCAGCCCTTGTGCACAACCAGCAGGAACCGCAGCTTACTTGAAGCAACCCTAGTAATCCCTCACCAGCGACACCTTCAGCCTCGGCTTCTGAATATGCTGCTGTGTATAGCAGACTTGTCCTGTCCATCCGTCATCCCATTTGGCTCTTGTACACATTGTTGGGTATTGAAGCCTACCAGCCTTACTATCCAGCCCACATACATGCTGATGGTGCCACCGTCTGTCTAGCCAAACCAACCCCCAGCCCTGGTCCTCACACTCACTGGTAAGAGCTGTGACCCATCAAGGAGATGCCCAGAGTTTCGCTAGTAGGTCTGCTCCCATCCTCAGTTCTTGTGCTTTCCAGGTAGTACTGTGGTCTAGTCTGACAAAACTTGCTCTCCAGTTCCCTGCATCTGCCAGCCCATACTGTTGCAAAGGCCAACTAACCTGCATTTCCTCTGGTTCCTGCACATACCAGTCTGCCCCCAGTCCCAGCTGTTTGCTGACCAGTGGGAGCACTTTTCACAAGGAGAGTCCCTGCAGCCCCCTACTAGGCTTATACACACACCCTCCCCTCCTACTCCTTGGGTCTTATATGTGCTGGTGGATGCTATAGGCCCAATCTGATATGGCTGCTCCACTTCTGATTCAGCTCCCTGATAATGTGCTTGGGAAAGCAGGGGAAGATGGCCCAAGTCTTTGGGCTCCCTAGGGTTGTACTGGCTCAGCTCCAGCCATTGCTGCCATTTTTGGTGTGAACAAGTGGACAGATGATCTTTCTTGTCTCTGTCTCTCCTCTGTAACTCTACCTTTCAAATAAATAAGTGAACTTTAAAAAGTTTATCTTCCCCAAACCAACTTTTTTTGTTAAAAATATTTAATATTTTTTTCATATTTGAGATATAAAAACAGTGGTCTGCCAACTGATTGACTTTTTTCAAATGTTCACAGCAGCTGGGACTGAGGCATTCCAAAGCCGGAAATCCAGAACCCAATGCTCGTCTTACATGTGAGTGGCAGGAACCTAAGCACTTGAGCTGTCAGTGTTTTTGTTTAAGTCAGAGCTAACAAAGAGAGTGAGGAAGAGAGGGCTCTCCCATCCACTGGTTCACTCCTCTGATGGCTACAGCAGCCAACACTGGTCAGGGTAATGCTGGAAGCCAGCAGCTTCATCCAGGTCTCCAGCATGGGTGGCTCAAAACACCAGGACCACTTTGCGCTGCTTTCCCTGGCCTGTTCTCAGGGAGCTGGAGCAGAAGTGGAGCAGCTGAGACACAGATTAATGCCTGATGGGATGCTGGCATCGCATCTCAGGTGGCAGTTTAACTTGTGCCACCGTGTGGGCTCCGATGACATCACGTTCTTCTTCCTAGGGAAGGTCTTGTGATCCCACATTTCTTTCCATTTGTAGGAAGCTGGGATCACAACTGGAGCTAGAACTTGAACCCAAACACTCTAATACGGGACATGGGGTGTCTCTCGCTCTCTCCCTCCTTTTTTGAGAGGCACCCCACCTCCTGGTTTTCTCTCCGGAGGTGCTTTCCCCTTCCCTCCCTTCCCTGCTCACCTGGTCCCTTTGCAAATAAACTTTTCTGTCTGCAACAGAAAAAAAAATATGGGACATGGATGTCTCTAGCTTTCTTTTTTAAAATTAATTTATTTATATTTGAAAGGTAGATTTATCAAGAGAAAAGGAGAGAAAAAGAGAGGTTTGCGGTCTTCTGGTTCACTCCCCAGATGGCTGCAACAGCTGGAGCTGAGCCTATCCAAAGTGTGGAGCCAGGAGTTTCTTCTGGGTATCCCACATGGGTGCAGGGGCCCAAGGATATGGGTCATCCTCTGCTGCTTTCCTAGATCATAAGCAGAGAGCAGAATGAGAAGTGGAGAAGCTGGGACCCTGCACCCGTGTGGGAGACCTGGAGGAAGTTCCTGGCTCCTGGCTTCACATTGGTGTTGTACTGGTCATTGCGGTCACTTGGGGAGTAATCATTGGATGGAAGATCTTCCTCTCTGTCTCTCCTCCTCTCTGTATATCTGACTTTGCAATAAAAATAAATAATAAATCTTAAAAAAGTGGAGAAGCTGAGACTTGAACTGCTGTATGTAGGAGATGCTGACATGGCAGGTAGAGAATTACCCATTATGCCACTACACTAGCATCTCAAACTTTGTCTTGCCTACTGCGCACCTACCCCTCTCATATCTGTTTTCTGTGGTATCTTCTGTTGGTATGTGGCAATTTCATTCTTCTGGTTTCTGAACCAAAAGCCTTGGTTTCATCTCACCCATTGTCAAACCATTAGTCAATCAACTTTAATTTATATGTGCGTGTGTATATATATGTGTGTGTCTGTGTATATATATATACATATATATATACACGTCTATATGTGTATGTGTATGTATATATATATATATATATATATATATATATATATATATATATACCCCTCCATATACACATACATACTTGGGAGACCTAGAAGAAGCTCCTGGCTTCCAGCTTCGGATCTGATGAGCTCAGCTCAGATGGACATTGTGGCTGTTTGGAAAGCAAACTAGTAAGTGGAAGACTTCTATTACTCTTTCTCTGTTAAGAAACAAAAACAAAGAAGTCCGATTCTCAACTACTTGTCCATTCTTCTGAATTACTCCATATATCATCATCTTTATCATCATCATCATCTCAGATTATTCAACAACTTCATAACTGATTTCCCTGCTTCTCTCCTTGTCTCATGATTTTTTCAATCCACGGTTAAGTTGTTTTAAAACAGATATCACTTCATTGACAATCCTGCTGCGGTTTCCTGATCTTCTCCTAATATTATTCAGAATCACTTTTAATATTAAAAGGCCTTATTCAAAAAGAAGTTCTATGAAAAGCACAGTGACTAGAGAAAAAGATCTTCCAGACCCACAGTAGCCAGGTCTAAGCCAGGCCCTGCCATGTGGTGTGTCAGAGGCCCAAGTGCTTGGGTCATCTTGCGCTGCCCTCCCAGTGTGGTTAGCAGGTATCTGAAGAGAACCCCTGGGACTTGGGTAAGAGCTGCAGCTCCTCAGCCTGATGTGCCACTTTCCCGAGGTCCAAGAGAACGCAGTCCTTTGTTTCTTCCTGACCACCATGCTGCTCCTGCCTGAGGGCCTTTGCCCTGGTTGCATCTGCTCTTTAGATAGGAATGGCTCATTTCATTTTGTGACTCCAAGTTTTGAGGCCGTCAGTGAATACTGAATGAATGAATGAACACAACCTTTGCAATCACATAAATTTGAACTTGAATTCTTGTTTTGCCACTTAACTGCCTAGCCAGCTTTTCCTTCTACACCCCAACAAAGAAATGATAAAACATTCATATGGGGTAAGGTTGCAGATTATTTCATTGCATATATCTTTAGTTATTTGTGAATTATAACTTGTAATCTGTAGGCCCTACCTATTTTAAAATTATCATCGCTACCACATAGCTTCTTTTCCTGATTTCCCTGATTCCTGATTACTCTGTTAGCCATCAATGGAAAAACCTGTATTTCTGTTATCATCATGTCTCATGTGAGATCTCTGTATTTCCACACCATAGGAAGGAGAACGGAATTTTTTTTTTTCTGTTGCACACAGAAAAGTTTATTTGCGAAGGGACCAGGTGAGCAGGGAAGGGAGAAGAAAGGGGAAGCACCTCCCAAGAGAAAGCCAGGAGGTGGGGTGCCTCTCGAAAGAGGGGAGAGAGAGAGACACCGGAAAAAGGGTTTTTAATTAATGTGTATTTTTGCCAATACTTCAGAATCTGACCAATAACTAAATAAAATTATGGGTCCTCTATATCACTTTGAAAAATCAGGTTCTTTCAAGCCCAGCGGCGTGGCCTAGCGGCTAAAGTCCTCACCTTGAATGCGCCGCAATCCCATATGGGCACCGGTTCTAATCCCGGAGCCCCACTTCCCATCCAGCTCCCTGCTTGTGGCCTGGGAAAGCAGTCGAGGACAGCCCAAAACCTTGGGACCCTGCACCCGTGTGTGGGAGACCTGGAGGAAGTTCCTGGCTCCTGGCTTTGGATCGTCATAGCATCGGCCATTGTACTCACTTGGGGAGTGAATCATTGGATGGAAGATCTTCCTCTCTGTCTCTCCTCCTCTCTGTATATATGACTTTCCAATACATAAATAAATCTTTTTTTAAAAAAAAGAAAAATCAGGTTCTTTCAATTGAAATGTAATTTATATAGCACAAAACTTATCTTTTAAAAGAGGAGGAGGATGGGAGGAGCTTCTGTGCTTCTAAATTTAAACCATGAAACATGTTAAATTTACTTACTTTATATTAAAGAAATAAAATTAATTAAAACTTAATCCTGCTAAAGTGTACAATTCAGTGGCTTTTAATGTATTTAAAACTGAATTTTGAACATTCTGGTTACCCCAAAGTGAAACCCCTTATCTGCTTGCAGTCATTCCCAATTTCTTCATTTTTGCAGCTTCTGGAAACCCACTAATTTAAATTGTCTCTGTGAATATAACTTTTCTGGGCATTGTCATATAATTGGGGTCATATATGAATTATTTGTAAGTAGGTACTTGTATTAGCACTTCATTTTTTTTGGTGGCAAAATATTCATTTTATGGTTGTACTCAGAATTTGTTTACTCTGTCAACTGATAATGTGAATTGCTTCTTGTATCCATCAGTTGATCAATCATTTGGATCATTTTCACGTCTTGATTATATGCTTCCATGTATGTTCATGCAAATGTTCTTATGTACATGCATGTTATACTTTGATTTAGCTATGGACCCAGGAGTGTAATTACTGAGTCATAGGATAACTGTAAGCCCGTAAGTTTTTAAAAAATAGCCAGTTTTTTCCCTCCTATTTATGTACTCACAATATACAATCTATGTGTGTTTTCTTTGTTTTGTTTCTGTCAAGATTTATTTGAAAGGAAGAGTTAGAGAGAGATAGGGAGAGGTGTCTTCCATCACTGGTTCACTCCCCAAATGACTGAAGTATCCAGGGCTGTGCCATGCTGAAGCTGCAAACGTCTTCTGGGTCTCCCACATGGGTAAAGGGGACCCCAAGCAGTTGGGGCATCTTCCACTGCTTTCCCAGGCAAAATCAACAGGAAATTGGGTCAGAAATGGAGTAACCAGGACTCAAACTGGCACCTGTGTGAGCAGGTGATGGCTTAACCAGCCAAGCCACAGTGCTAGTGTCCACACTCCCTCACCCTCACTCCCCATTTCTTAAAGAAGTATTTATTTGAAAGGCAGTGTTACAGAGAGGGCAGTGATCGCAAGTGAGTACTCTATTCAGTCAGCTTTTTCACTCCCCGAACGATTGGTGCCATTTGGCACTGCTTAAATGGCTGTTCTCCCATGCAGGTGCAGGGTCCTAAGGCTTTGGGCTGTCCTTGACTGCTTTCCCGGGCCACAAGCAGGGAGCTGGATTGGTAATGGAGCAGCCAGGATACAGACTGGTGCCCGTAACAGCTTGCAAAAGCCGGAGCTGAGTCTGGTCAAAACCAGGAGCTTTATCTGGTCTTCTATGTGGGTGCAGTGGCCCAAGCTCTTGGACCATCCCCTGCTTTCCCAGGTGCCTTAGCATGGAGCTGATCAGAAATTGAGCAGCTAGGACTTAGATGGGTGCCCATGTGGGATACCAGTACTACAGGCAGCAGCTTAAGCAACCATGCTGCAATACTGACACAGAACTTCTAATGCCAGAAGTGTTAGTTTTTCCTATAAAAAGCAGATATGAGTGTGCACCTGACTTCAGTTAATAGTTGGAGGTTCGCAGTTAACACAGTTCTGTCCATGCTGACTCCTAAGTAGAGGTTTTCTTGACCTCCATTATTGGATTTGATACTTTCCTTGATGAGCTCTCAGACAACAATATTTTCACAATTGCCAAGATATTTCAAATATCCTTTTAAAGGGTGCAAATGAACAGCCACATGAAGCTTGTGATAAACCACAAAATTACATTTTCACTGGAAATTATTGACCTTAGACCAATAAAAATGGCAATAGGTTGCAGTGCATTTTAGGAAAATACTTTTGTTCTAACAATTATGCTAAGTGAGCTATAAATTGCAACGTAGAGAGTTGTAGCAGACTTACAGAGAATGAGGCACAGATTCTCCATCTGATGGTTTACTCCTTAAATGGCTCAACGGCCAGAGCTGAGCCAATCTGGAACCCGGAACCAGGAGCTGCTTCTGTTTCCCTCATGGGTGCAGAAGCCCAAAGACTTGACATCCTCCAACCTCTGCTGCTTTCCCAGGCCATAAGCAGGGAGCTGGATCAGAAGTAGAACAGCCAGCGTTAGAACTGGCATCCATATAGAATACCAGCACTACAAGGCTAAGCACTAAGGATAAGCCTATTGAGTTACCATGCTTATTAAGATGTATTTTTTTAAGATGTACTTATTTATTTATTTTATTTTTAAATTTTGTTTTTATTACAAAGTCAGATATACAGACAGGAGGAGAGAGAGAAAGCAAATGGAGCTGCTGGGATTAGAACCAGCGACCATGTGGGATCCTGGTGCATTCAAGGTGAGGACCTTAGCCACTAGGCCACACCGCCAGGCCCAAGATGTATTTATTTTTATTAGAAAGGCAGATATACAGAGAGGAAGAGACACAGAGAGGAACATGTTCCAACTGATGATTAACTCCCCAAGTGACCGCAGTGGCTGGAGCTGAGCCTATCTGAGCTGAGCCTATCTGAAGCCAGGAACTTCTTCCTGGTCTCCCATGCAAGTGCAGGGTCCCAAGCTTCACGCCATCCTCTACTGCCCTCCCAGGGCACAAGCAGGTAGCTGGGTGGGAAGCCAGGCTGCTTGGATTAGAACCCGGGTCCATATCAGATTCTGGCACGCTCAAGGCGAAGACTTCAGCTGCTGAATCACTGTCGTGGGCCCTGGCCCTATCTTTTTGTAAAAGAAAAAGAAAATGCTTCGTTTTCAATTTTGAAAGCATGGTGGGGGAGGGCAAAAGAAACATTTGTTTTTAATTTTAAAAGCATAGTGGGTGTATTGGGGCAGGGTAGAGAGAGAGAAAGAGAATCTTCATCCTCTGGTTCAATCCCCAGTTGTTACCATGTTGAGCCTTGGTCATGCTGAAACCAGGAGGAGCTTCCTCTGGTTCTCACTTCTGGGAGAAGGGACCCTAAATGCTTTAGTTGCTTTCCCAGGTATATTAACAGGAATTAGATTGAAAGTGAAGCAGCTGGCCCTGGCACAATGGCTTAAGGGATAAATCCTCAACTTGCAAGCACCAGGATCCCATATGGGCACTGGTTCATGTCCCAGCTGCAGCTGCTCCACTTCCCTTCCAGCTCCCTGCCTGGGAAAGCAGCAGAAGATGGCTCAAAGCCTTGGGACCTTGCACCTGTGTGGGAGACCTGGAAGAATCTCCTGGGTTTGGATCGGTTTAGCTCTGGCGGTCACAGCATGATCCAGTGGATGGACAATATTTCTCTCTGTCTCTCCTTCTCTCTGTAAATCGAATTTGCCTTTCTAATAAAAATGTTTTTTTTTTTTTTTCTTTTTTCAATTGGAGCCACTGTGACTCATGACTCAAATGGGATGCAGGCGATGTAGATGACAGCTTTTCCAGCCACACTGCAGAGCTGGCCCCTAAACTGTGTTACCACTGCTTTTGTTGTATCCCAGAAGTTTTGATATGTGTGATGTCATGTTTATTTGTTTCCAGGAATTTTGTGTTTTCTGCAGTGGCCAACCGTTCATTCGTTTGTGTATTGTCCAATTTCCTTAATTTGATATTTTTAAGAGTTTCTTGAGTTGTCAGTTTTCAGGTGCATTCCACTGTGGTCAGAAAAGATATGTACCATGATTTCAGTTTTTAAAAATTTGCTGAGACTGTTTTTATAGCCTAGCATAACGCCTATGGAGAAAGTTCCATGCCCTAATGAAAAGAATGTGTATTCTGAAACTGTGGGATGGAGTGTTCTGTACATGCCAATTTGTTCATGTGGTGTGTGTTGTAGATTAGCTGTGTAATCTTTTGTTGATTTTCTGCATAATTTATCTATCCAAGGATGAAAGTGTAGTGTTGAATTTCCCGTAGTTACTTGAGTTTGTCTCTCTTTAGATCTGCTAACATTTATTTTATAGTCAGACCACCCTGTCAGTGGGTGCATATACGTTTACTTTTGTCACATAGAATCTTTATGTTTTAATACTGAAAATGTGTTATGGTGAAGACCTTTTCTGAGTATTTGTTCTAGTAGTTCTGTGTGCTTCTGTGTACTTGGATGTCTCTTTTTTCCAAATCAAGGAGATTTTCTCCTCTTATTTCACTGAGTAGGCTTTCTAATCATTCTCCCATGGCTTCAGGAACTCCTAAGACATGTGTGATTGGTTGTTTGATAGCATCCTGTAAATCTGAAAGCAACATTTTCTGATTTCTTTCCTTTTTGTCTGAGATATTTCCGAGGTTTCATTTTCTAGCTCAGATCTTCTTTCTTCTGCTGTGCCATGTCTGTTGTTGAGGCTTTCCGCTGTGTTTTCTATTTGGTATAAGAGTCTCTTCATTTCTGATGCTTGAATTTTATTTCTCTTCAGTATCTTTGTCAGTAAAAATGTTCAACCTTATATAAATTTGTTTATATCATAAATCTGTTTGAGTGATCTTATGGTTAGGCATTTTATCATTGTCTTCGTTGCCATATTCTAAATATCGAAGTGTTATATTCTTTTTGGAAAGTCATATCATCATCTTTATTTCAACATTTATTTATAGGCATTTGTGGAAACACTTGTTAATTTTCCCATCTTTTGGCTTTTGCATTTAAACTTTGCCTCTGTGGTGTCAGCTCCTTTAGTGGATTGCCACTGACATGTTGTGGGCAGGGTTCTAAGCTCTGGTCAGTGCTCAAGTGTGGGGCGTACCGTCTGACACCCAGGTTGAGTGTGGTAGGTCTCCTCTGTTAGTACGGGGAGGTTATGGTCTCATCGGCTAGAATAATCACAATCTCACCCACCTCTCAAGTTATCAATGTTCAGGGTTATCATATGAAGGAGAGTTCTCAGTGTGAGCACAATGACCCATTGCAGCCGCTCAATCTCTTAGCCTCTGAAGTGATTGCTCAGAGATGTAGATGTGTACCACACTGTGTTGTACAGCCACAGAATTTCCTTAAGCATAGCCCATGAGTAGGGGATCCGCTCTCAGCCCTGTGAACCTGCCTCGTCCCCAGATAGTAGAGGCATTCCCAGAACCAGCTGCCTGTGGTGCTCTGCCTTAGCATTTTTTGAGTCTTGGAACCTGTGACACGGTGGGAGGATGGAAGTGCCTTATTCACCAAGTGGGTGCCCAGCCTCCTGCCAACCTACTGGACCAGACACAAAGTCAGTGGGAAATGTGGATTTATGAAGTCACCTGGTTGGTCATCTGCAAATGCCACCTCTATTTCTCCTGGCATGAAAGTGGGACTATCTCTGCCAGTTACTGAGTACCCTTGTGAGGGCATGGGAGAAAAGAAATGCACTTTCCCTGCACATGGGACCCTGCCCGCCACCAAGGCTCCATGCCTGCCTTAAAGTCAGAGTGGCCTTCAGAGTTCTCCCTCGGGCATATCAGCAGTGCCAGAGCACAGTCTGCCCTCCCTTTGCTCTCAGATGCTGGTGTTTGCTGCAGCCCCTGGCTGTGGAGTTCATGTGTGGCATCCCTGCTTGTTGTTGGTGTACTGTCATGCTTTTCCACTGCATCTCTTCTTTTGGTAATGTTTTCACTGCCAGCTTTTCTTCAGCTCTTTGGGAATGTACCTGCTCCACTTCTGTTAACCTTCCTCGGGTTAGAATTGGCATGTGTTTTCATGTGTTTTCCCAATTCAGCCATCTTGGAATCCAGGGTTTTCTGTAGAGGCATTATTTACCAGAACTCTGGTTTCATACCCACTTAACTTCCCAAAGATCCTATGTCTTCCTGCTAATGCATTCGGGACTAGATTTCACCATAGGAATTTTGGTGGGACACAAATGTTCAGACTGCAATATCTCACACTCCTAAGGTTTACATTGTACTTGCACTTTGAAAAATAAGTCATATACACTAATGTATCAGTTATTGTCTCATGATGGATCTGAAGTTCGGTTTCTGAGTCCTACCAAACTTTCCCTGTCTTTGAGGACAGAGTCATCATTTTGTTCAGCATATTTAAGATTTATTGTGCACTCAAAATCCTGACTACAACTTAGATAGCAGATCTAGGGCTCTTTTTTTAAAAAATTTTCATCTATAATATGCAATCAAAGGGAGAATGACTCTGAATTGTCTTTTATCTCATTCTAGGACAAGATTTCTTGGTAACTTCAGTATTTTATTTGGGGTTTAGCTTCCAGAACATCAGATGCCTGAGCTCTGGACTGTGCTGAGTAGATAAGCTTTGCTCCTGAGTTGTAACCCTCTTTGTCTCCTGGAGTGAGATAGGTTTAGGTTGTGTATGAATTCACTGGGTTCATGGAAAAAAGCAAACACAGCCCAAAGAAGTCAGTTTCATTTAAAGGAACAGTAAGTTTAAATGTTTAAAAATAAATTTTGGGGCCCTGCGCGATGGCGCAGGTGGTTAAGGTCCTCGCCTTGCACGCCCGGGATCCCATATGGGCGCCGGTTCTATCCCAGCAGCCCTGCTTCCCATTCAGCTCCCTGCCTGTGGCCCGGGAAAGCAGTGGAGGACGGCCCAAAACTTTGGGACCCTGCACCCACGTGGGAGACCCGGAAGAGGCTCCTGGCTTCGGATCGGCATAGCAATGGACGTCTTGTTCACTTGGGGAGTGAATCATCAGACGGAAGATCTTCCTCTCTGTCTCTCCTCTCTGTATATCCGCCTTTCCAATAAAAATAAAATAAATCTTTAAAAAAATAAAAATAAATAAAAATAAATTTTGGGGCCGGTGGTGTGATGTAGCATGCTAATCCTCTTTCGGCAAGCACTGATATCCCATGCTGGTTCTGGATCATGTCCTAGCTGCTTCATTTCTGTTTTTTTGTTAAATATTTATTTTTATTGGAAAGTCAGATATACATTGAGGAGTAACAGAGAGGAAGATCTTCTGTCCTTGGACTCACTCCCCAAATGGCTGCAACAGCCAAGACTGAGCCAGTCCGAAGCCAGAGCCCAGAGCCTCTTCCGAGTCTCCCACGAGTCTTGAGACGGGTAGAGGGTCTCAAGGTTTTGAGCCATCCTAGATTGCTTTCCCAGGCCACAAGCAGGGAGCTGGATGGAAAGCGGGGCTGTTGGAATTAGAACCAGTACGCATATGGGATCCCGGCACATTCAAAGCAAGGACATTCGTGGCTTAGGCCAATGCGCTGCACCCACTGCTTCACTTCTGTTTTTTTTTTTTTTTTTTTTTTTTTTTTTTATTGGGAAGGCAGAATACAGAGAGGAGGAGAGACAGAAGAAGATCTTCCATCCATTGATTCACTCCCCAAGTGACTGCAACAGCTGGAGCAGAGCAAATCCGAAGCCAGGAGCCAGGAACTTCTTCCTGGTCTCCCACACAGGTGAAGGGTCCCAAGGCTTTGGGCTGTCCTTGACTGTTTTCCCAGACACAGCAGGGAGCTGGATGGGAAGTGGAGCTGCCAGAATTAGACTGGTGGCCATATGGGATCTTGGCATGTTCAAGGCAAGGACTTTAACCGCTATGTTATGGTGCCAGGCCCCTGCTGCTTCAGTGGTAATCCAGCTCTCTGCTTGTGGCCTGGGAAGGCAGTGGATAATGGCCTCCCGCTTAGGAGCCAGGAGCCTGCGAAGTAGTCCCTGGCTCCCAGCTTTAGACCAACTCAGCTTTGGACATTGCAGCCATTTGGAGAGTGAAGCAGCAGGTGGAAAACATCTCTTTCTCCTCTCTGTAAAATCTGCTTTTGAAATAAAAATAAATACATCTCTTAAAAATGTAAATTTTAATGTTAATTTTCACCTTTTATTTAATCTATTGTATCTCATTTCTTGACCATGCCAAGGAAGCATTTGGCATAGTCAAACTTAGTTTGATTTTATGAGTTCTTATTTGTGCTGGCATTGGCATTTTAAGTTTCGGGAGCAGGAATAGGATACAGTAGAATTTACAGTTGTCCTCTATTTGTGGATTTCACCTCCTCAGACACAGATCAAACACTCAGAGATGAGAAATTGTGCCTGTTGAACATGTACTGATGTTTTCTTGTCAATGTCGCCTAAGCAATATAACAGCTATTAGGTAGCCTTTACATTATAGTAGATATTTTAAGCAATGTAGAGACAGTTTAGAGTATTCAGGAGTTACATGTAAATACCATGTCATTTTCATAAGGGATTTGAGTATCTGGGGATTGTTGTATCCACAGCGGTCCTGGAATTAATGCATGTCATATGCACAATGCTGGTGGTGTGTTTCAGTGATTATATTTTAGAGTGATTACACTTTTTTAGAAACAATAATTTAAAAAGTGAAGTTAGAGGAAGAGATTTCTAATGTAAGTAGCAGAGGCCCAAACTGTTTTTCAAGGCCAGTATCAGGCCAACACACAAGCCAGCATCTGTCTGTTTTGGATGCCAGTGTTGCAGGCAGTGGCTTGACCTGCTATGCCACAACAATATTGCTGAGATTATTATTTTTAAAGATGTATTATTTTTATTGCAAAGTCAGATATACACATACAGATAGGAGGAGAGACAGAGAGGAAGATCTTCCTTCTGATGATCCACTCCCTAAGTGACTGCAGTGACTGGTCCTGCACCAGTCCAAAGCCAGGAGCCAGGAACTTCCTCCAGGTCTTTCACACGGGTGCAGGGTCCTAAAGCTTTGGGCTGTCCTTGACTGTTTTCCTGGGCCACAAGCAGGGAGCTGGGTGGGAAGAGGGGCCACTGGGGTTAGAACTGGCGACCATATGGGATCCTGGCTAGTTCAAGGCTAGGGCTTTTAGCTGCTAGGCCACACTGCCGGGCCCTGAGATTACTTTTTAGATTGCTTTTACTGCTCTCTACAGCCTGTTTCTTGAGCCTTCTGAAGGCTATACATTTGAAGGCTAAGAGTACTAATATGTGAGTATTTTATTTCATGTCCTTGTGTTCCCGTATTTCATCTTCAGTAGGAAAAACTATACTATGATGACTCTTGGAGGGGTGACAGTGAAAGATAGGGAGAGAAGGAACTTTTTCATGTTATTATCTCCTTAACAGTCATAAAGAAGAATAAATCTAAATAATAATTCTCTGGCATTGTGGTGTAGCTGGTTAAGTTGAGGTTGCAGGGTCAGCATCCCACATGTGCACCAGCTAGGATCCCAGATGCTGTACTTGCTATTCAACGCCCTGCTAATGCAACTGGAAAAGCTATGGGAGTTGCCCAGATTCTTGGGCCTCTGTCACCCAGGTGGGAGCCCCGGGTGAAGCTCCTGGCTTTGGTTGGCCCATTCCTGGCACTTGTGACCATTTGGGGAATGAACCAGTAGACAGAAGACCTCTTGTGTCTCTCCTTCCTTCTCTCAGTAACTCTGCCTTTCAAATAACTGAAGATAAATCTGAAGAAAAAATAAAAGCTCTTGTGCACTAAGGTGTAAAATGGTTTATGGTTTAGGAAGTGTCGCACATCCGTGGTTGTTGGAATGATGGAAGATATTTTCAGGTAATATATTATACTAGAATGTTAATTCACCTTTTAATGTGTCCTAATTACCTTGTCATTGGTAGTTGTATAGTGGAGAATTTGTCAGCGGTTTTCTCATGAGAAAAAAGGAATTTGTGAAACACAGTTTCATATCACTCATTTATATGAGGAAGGAGTAAGAATACGTGCTAGTTCCTTAAGCGAAACTAGTTCCGAAAGTGTTAAGTGGCCTGTATGCGGTGGTGTTTAAATGTGTTAGGTTCCTTCTGACTGAATGTGAGAACCCCTATGGGTTTCTCAGAAGAGCTCAGATTGCTGCGAGCTTTCCAGACTTGAGCAACAATAAGATGAAGGTTAGGTAACTCTCAGGTTTATTTTAGAGTTGACATGTTTTTGTTTGTTTGTTTGTTAAGATTTATTTAGTTTTATTACAAAGTCAGATATACAGAGAGGAGGAGAGACATAGAAGAAGATCTTCCACCCATTGATTCACTCTCCAACTGAGCGCAACGGCTGGTGCTGCGCCGATCTGAAGCCGGGAACCAGGAACTTCCTCCAGGTCTCCCACATGGGTGCAGGATCCCAAAGCTTTGGGCCATCCTCGACTGCTTTCCCAGACCACAAGCAGGGAGCTGAATGGGAAGTGGAGCTGCCGGGATTAGAACTGGCGCCCATATGGGATCCTGGTGTGTTCAAGGCGAGGACTTTAGCCTCTAGGCCACACTGCCGGGCCCAGCATGTTTTAAAACATTGATATTCTAGGCCTGGCTGTTTTTAATGGATGAATGAGGCAAAATGAATCTTTTTGTTAATGACTTCAGACCTTTTGTGTCTAGAGGTATAGATGTCTGTGTAGTGCTGTACGAATTCTGAGAATAAAGTGCGTATTTAATTATTAACTTGCACATATTTTGGGATAGATGAGATATAATATGAACTAGAATCATTTCAGTTGTTACATTTACTGAAACTTAATTGATGAAGTTTTATTTCCTGGGTGTTGTTGTAGGGTGTACTTGAAAAGAAAGTTAACTCTTTATAATTCCATATTTTGTAGGTTTTTAAAATCCATTCTTTATACTTTAACATCTTTCAAATCAAGATATGTGTTATCAGTGTCTATCATTGAATAATTGGAGGGAGTTGTTTTTTTTCCCCCTTTCCTAGTATTTTATCATGTAATGGCATGTCATAGAGTTGGTAGTATGTCTTAGATTTGGAAGATAATGGCATGTTTATAATCCATTTGTGTTTTCCCCATACTTCACCAAGTTAGAGACATACAAGAGGGATACTTGACCGTGAACCACTGAAACTAATCTCCCTTCTTTCCCACTGTGGTTCCTGGGGGTTTTGCTGTTTTACACTGGTTCGCTTCTACAGTTATTTCCCATTTACAAATATTTCAGTTTATAGCTGGCATTTTCACTACAGTCTGGGCAAGCAGACCAGTATTGCTGTGTTTTTTTGTTTTGTTTCTTTTAACTTTCACTTAATTGAAAGGCTGAGAGACAGAGACCAAGATCTTCCAGGTGACCTCAGTGTCCAGGACTGTGCCAGGCGGCGGCCAGGAGACCCAGGATTTCTTCTGGGGTTCCCATTTGAGTGGCAGTGTCCCAGGGACTTGAGTCATTACCCTCATGGGGTGCAGATTGGCAAGAAACTGAAGTGAAAGTGGAGAGGGGAATACAAATGCAGGCCCTCTGACGCAGTACCCCCAGTAGTGTACTAACTGCTGTGCCAAATGCCAGCCCTATTGTGATGGCTTTATAAGCTGGCAATATCAAAGCATTTACTGCTGTCTCTCATTGGCTTTCTCTTCCTTTCTTTCTTTCTCTCTTTTTTTTGGGGGGGGGGGTTGTTGTTGTTGTTGTTTAAGATGTATTTTATTTGTGTTTGAGAGACCAATAGCGATGTATCCGCTGGACTAATCCTCAGATGTCTATAGCAGCTGAAGCTGGTCTAAAGTGAGGAGGCAGAACCTGGTTTTTCTGGTTCTCTCTTGTGAGGCAGGGGCCTAAGTACCTGGGCTGCCATCTGCTGCTTTCAGGCTGTGAGCTGAGATCAGAAGTGGAGCAGCTGGGACTCAAACTGGCACCTAGATGGGATGCTGGCACCACAGGTGGAGGCCTAGCCTGTTGCTTCATGATGCCAGTCCCTTCATCTGCTTTTATTTTTGTTGTTGTTGTTAAGATTTATTTTTGTTTGAAAGGCAGAGAGAATAAGAGGTAGAGAAAAAGCCTTCCATCTGCTAGTTCACTTCCCAAATGGCAGAATTGAACTGACCCTGGGGAGGCGCTTCCTCCGGGCCTCCCATGTGGGTGCAGAGTCTGCTTTCCCAGGCCATAAACAGAGAGCTGAATTGGAAGTGGAGCAGCCAGGACACAAACCAGTGCACCACAGTGGCCCTGTTTAATACTTTGCCTTCAAAGTTAGAAGTTGAATGCCTCCTCACAATTAAGCTGCTTACATGATAGGTTCCTCCAGACCAAATGCTTTGAGAGAATGAGTAAGAAGGAAACCATAATTTTTTATAGGCTAATCAAAGCACCTCTAAAAGATTATAGCAGATCTTCAGTTGTTTAAGTGTATATGATTTTTAATTTATCTTTGCATTCAACTCTTTAATAAAGCCTTTTTAAAACAGATTTATATTTATTGGAAAGATATCAGATTTATGGGGAGAAGGAGAGACAAAAATATCATCCGTCTGCTGATTTACTCCCCAGATGGTCACAAGGGCCAGAGATGTACCAATCTGAAGCCAGGGGTCAGGAACTTCATAATGTCTCATGCAACTGCAGGGTCCCAAGCTTTGGGCCGTCCTCTACTGCTTTCGCAGGCTACAGGCAGAGAGCTGGATGGGAAGTGGAGCAGCTGGGACACAACCCAGCACCCATGAGGGATCCTGACGCATGCAAGGTGAGCATTTAGCCATTTAGCTATTGCACCGGGACCTACTACCTGTTGCTTTAGGTCCTCTGTGTGTACCTCCAAGGAATTTAAGACATTTTTCTAGAAGAACTGAAAGGATACTTTGAGGCATGATCACTTGAAGATATTTCTTACTCTTTCTAAGGAACAGCAATTCCAGCAAAGATAAACATCTATGGGTGAATTTCCTGATTTTGTGAGCCTGCCAAACAGATACGTTGTTTGCCCTTTTTAACAGTTTTATTACTAAATCAGTAAATTATTATTTTCATCAGTAGTCATTCCTTAATTCTCAGGATACTGCTCCTGCTTTCTCACTATTGAGGATGTGCAAGGTAGTTTACTCCCTGCTTGAAGACAGGATTTGCCGTTACTGATTTTTGAATGCAATGACTATGCACTTTCAGTTGAACACCTAGATCTGTGCCTGAGTTAGCTTCTAACTTGATAATATAGAAATGAAGAAGAGGGCCTAATGTGATGGCTCAGTGGCTAAATCTTTACAAGTGCCAGGATCTTATATGGGTGCTGATTTATGTTCTGGCTGCTCCACCCAGCTTCCTGCTTACAGCCTGAGAAAGCAATAGAAGATGGCCCAAAGCCTGGCAACCCCGAAGACGTTCTTGGCTTGTAATTTCAAATCAGCTCAGCAATAGCCACTGCAGCCACTTGGGGAGTTAACCAGCGAATGGAAGATCTTTCTGACTCTCCTTCTCTCTGTAAACCTACTTTCCTAATAAAAATAAATAAATATTTGAAAAAAAATATTAAGCAGTGGATAGTAGCCTCTTTTTGTGGTTCTAATGGGAGAGGATGGAAAGATTTGGTATTAATCATTACTGCCCAGCAAACTCATGATGACGTACTTACTATCTTTCTGTTTAGTTCCACTAGTCACACAGAGCAACTCTGGTTTAACGGTGAAAGGGAACTACACAAAGTGTGCTCAACATCAGGATGCAGGGCTAATTGAGGATTCTTTGGGAAGCTGACCATAAGTCTCTTCCTGTGTTGATACATCAGAATTTCTGTCAGATTGGAAACTTTCTTTTCTTTAGCAGTTTTCATCATCATGTTCAGGAGATCTAGGGCTAATTTTGTAAAACTCTTCTGGCCTTACCTTTGTATCTTTCCTGTACTTAGTAACTAATGCACACTGACTCTCCTTTGCTTCATAAACAAGGGCTATTTTTCCTGTCTTCCTTTTCTCTAGAGCATTTCCACAGCAGTATTTTTCCAAAGATGAGAGTTCAAATAATTGAAACTTTATTTTTGTAAGCTTCTTTATGCCATCTTTCTTTCCTTGGAGAATCGCTGTGCAAGTTAGTGTGTTAGAAGCCCTGTGTTAAAAAATCAGTTTTTCTTTGTTTAACCCAGAGTTCTAAAATACTTATTTGTAAAAGGGTGTTGCAGTGCTGTGGATTAGATAAAGCTAGGGTTAGTGGACCACTGCTTGGGAGGGATGCTTGCTTTTATTCTATATTGGAGTGCTGCTCTGAGGTCCAGCTCTTCTGCATCTGCTCCACCTTCCTGCTAATGCACCTGGAAAGGCAACAGAGGGTGGTTCAAGTACTTGGACCCCTGCTACCCATATGGGAGACCTGGCTGAATTTCTGGGCCACTGCTTTCAGCTTGGCTCATCACTGGCTTTGCAGGCATTTGTGGAGTAATATTTTTTCCCTTTCTCTGCACCCCTGACCATTTCTGTTATTCTGCCTTTCAGATAAATAAGTAAGTTTAAAATTTTATTTACAGGACCAGCATTGTGACATAGCAAATTAAGCCTCTGCCTGTGATTCTGGCATTATGCATGGGCAGCAGTTCAAGTCTTGGCTGTCCCACTTCTGACCGAGCTCCCTGCTAATGTGCCTGAGAAAATACTGGAATGTAGCCCAAGTGCTTGGGGTCCCTTACACGTGACTTGGATCCTGGAAGAAGCTCTGGGATCCTGGCTTCGGCCTTGCCTAGGCCCAGGATTTGGTGGGTGGTGAGGGATTGAACAGTGGATGGAAGGTGATGTGTGGTGTAGGGCAAACATGGGAAGTGGAACAACCTAGACAGGAACTGGTGCACATGTGGAATGGTAGCTTCACAGGTAGAGTCCAAATGTGCTGCATCACAATGCCATCCAAGGGTTACTTGGTTTACAAGTCTGTAAATTGAAAGCTCCTGTGTGAGGCTGGGGCATTGGCTCCACTGGCTAGTCCTCCACCTGTACGCACTCTAAGCACTATTCATTCCATATGAACACCAATTTGAGTCCTGGCTGCTCCGGTTCACATTCAGCTACCTGCTTATGGCCTGGGAAAGCGACAGAGGATGGCCCAAATCCTTGGGACCTAGCACTGGTGTGGGAAGCCCTCAGGGAGCCCCTGGCTCCTGGCTTCCAATCAGCTCAGTTAAGGTTATTGTGGCCAAATGAGGAGTAAACCAACAGGAGAAAGCTCCTGTGGTTTGTTTTGTTTAATTTTCACTGGAAAATAGTGCCCACTAATAACAGAGAAGCTGTGGACAAGGAGATCAGCGAAAACTGTGTCTCACAGATTTTGATTTTTTTTTTTAAGTTTAATCTCTTCAAATAGATCATACAGTAGCATAATTTTCTTCAAGAAGGTTCTTGATTTGCTTTTTCATTTCTTCAGTGACACATTAGTCATTCAGCAGCATGTTATTTAACTTCATGGTATTGTTAATTTCTTTTTTCTTCCTGTTGTTGATTTTGTTTTGTGGCTTTTCATTTAAGAGGATGTATGGTAACTGTAATGAAGACTATCATATCTAGTAGCATATTATTTAGCTTCATGGTATTATAAATTTCTATTTTTCTTCCTGTTGCTGATTTTGTATTGTGATTTTTCATTTAAGGGGATGTACAGTAACTGTGTAATGGAGACTGTCATATCCAAATGTGAGGATACAGTGCAGTATGCATCTCTACTTCCAGACCAAAGATGGACTCTGACTGAAACTGTTTATTATATCTAGACAATAGGAAGCTGGACTCTGCCATTGTCAATGCCCACAATGATGGACATATGACTATTTATGAAGAACTATAGTATAGCAATAATATAGGGGAGCTCAGTGAGGGGGAAAGGAATTGGGGAGGGGGTGTGGGAAATCCCAGGGCCTATGGATCTGTATCATGAAATGATAATAATAAAGGCTATGAAATAAAAATAAAATAAATCTAAGCAAATGAATTGGAGGAAAAAGAAGTAGAGGGAATGGTTTGTAAACTTAAGTTTTAAAATTTTCAAAGGCTTTCAGGTTCTTTGGTAAGCTTGTTTGTCGCTTTTCTCAAGTGATTATAGAGTTGTGGGGTTTTTTTTAAGCAGAAGGTAACAGGAAATATTATGTAAAACTTGAACCAACTTGAATTTAGACTGCTACAGCTTTGCAGCATCGATAGAGTAGCTAGGAAGTTCTAAAGAAGTTGATGTTTGTGCATAACTGGCTAATCTTAACCGCTTTATGGTGTCTGTGTTCAAATGTTTTGATAATAGCTTATGAATTATAGGATGGACAATTCAAATTTTACGAATTAGGCATGTAAAAAAATAGAGAATAGAGGGAGCTTGTAAAGTGAAAAGGTATAAGCATTTGGAGGAAGTTTAATCAAAAATGTCATACTGTTATAAATTTATGCATAGTAACTGGTAACTAATTTATGTTGCAAATTTCATATTGTAAAAGGGAGAAAGTACAAGTAATTGGTGGTGTTTTTTTCCAGAAACGACTACAGAAAGAACTATTGGCTTTGCAAAATGACCCACCCCCAGGGATGACTTTAAATGAAAAGAGCGTTCAGAATTCAATTACACAGTAAGTTATTTAATTTTTAGTATATCTTTTGTTACTGGTATAATAAATGAATTTTTATTCAGTTTTTAAAAATATGATGCTATCCTCATATTTTATTCCCATTTTCTTGTACCAAGAGGTCAACTAAATGTACTTTGTCCATGCATTTACATACATATATAATTTGTATTCCATCTTATCATTATATGTGTTGCTGAATAATTATAAAACCTTTTAAAAATATTTATTACTTTTATTTGAAAGGCAGAGTTTCAGAGAGAGAGGAGAGACAGAGTGAAATAAAAATCTTCCATTCACTTGTTCACTCTACAAAGCTGCACCAGCCAGAGCTAGGCTATCTGAAGCTGGGAGCCAGGAACTTCTTCCAGGTCTGCCATGTGGGTGCAGTGCCCAGGCTCTTGGGTCTGTATCTTCTGCTTTCCCAGGCTCTTAAACAGAGTTGGCTAGAGGAAGTGAATCAACCAGGAATTCATTGGGGTGCCAGAGCCTCATGCAGAGGATTAGCTTGCTATGCCATGGCACCGACCCTTATAAAGGCATTATTTTTTTAAAAAACTTAATCTTGGTTTTTCAAATGATAGGAAGATTCAAAAGTTTTGTGTGACTTTGTGTATGAAATGATTCCCATCTGCAATAAACAAGTTTGGTGTGAGTTGTCTGTCAAATGTTTTTCTTTAAAACCTTATGTATTTTGAAGGATTTAGAGAGAAAGGGACATCTTCCATCTGCTGATTCTCTCCCCAGATGGTGGTATCAGCTGGGACTAGCACAGGCTGGAGCCAGGAGCCTTGTTTGGGTTTGTCATGTGTGTAGCAGAATCAAGTACTTGGGCCATTTTCCGCTGTTCCAGGCTGCTAGTAGGAAGCTGGATCAGAAGTGGGAAAGTGTGGACATGAACCAGTGCCTACATGGGATGCGAGCATTACAGGTGGCAGCTTTACTTGCTATGCCACAACTGGCCCATATGAAAGATTTAAAGAAACCATTTAGGACTTTGACGAGAATAGCAAAAAAGAGGTGTTTCTTCCTCATCCTCCAAACACATGAACTGCATCCTAGACAGAAGGGAAACTGAAAGCCTGCCTCTGAACACTCTCGTGGAATAGACAAAAAGTATGAAACACTTGCTCCTCTGCATTAACAACAAGAAGAACTCTCCAAAAATATAAAATGTAAAAGGAAAAGAAGCCAATAACATATACATTTTCTATAAATCAACTTGAACAAATGAGCCAGTTTAAATATGTATTGAATCCTAGATTTAAGGAGTATAAAAGTAACCAAAATTTACGTAATGATGGGATGATTTTGGTTTGGAAGTCCTCTCTCTTTCTGTGTCTCCTCTCTCTGAAAAGTATGCCTTTCAGATAAAAATAATTAAATCTTTTTTAAAAGTACCATAAATTTTAACATCTATAAATTATATCTTTTTTTAAAAAAAGATTTATTTATTTTTATTACAAAGTCAGATATACAGAGAGGAGGAGAGACAGAGAAGATCTTCCATCCATTGATTCACTCCCCAAGTGACCACAAAGGCCGGTGCTGAGCCAATCCGAAGCCGGGAACCAGCAACCTCTTCCGGTTCTCCCACGCTGGTGCAGGGTCCCAAAGCTTTGGGCCGTCCTCCACTGCTTTCCCAGACCACAAACAGGGAGCTGGATGGGAAGTGGAGCTGCCAAGTTTAGAACCGGCACACATATGGGATCCTGGTGCGTTCAAGGCGAGGACTTTAGCTGCTAGGCCACGCCGCTGGTCCCTATAAATTATATTTTTAAAATATTTCTGGATCTTACTTGATGATTCATTTATATCAAATAAAATTTGAAGTTATTTTGAAAAACTATATGTGTTTGCTCTACAAAATTAAACAAAATGCAACTATCTGGGGCCTAGTGCAGTAACCTACAGGCTAAAATCCTCATCTTGAATGTGCGAGGATACCATATGGGTTCCAGTTCTAATCCCAGCAGCCCTGCTTCCCATCCAGCTCCCTGCTTGTGGCCTGGGAAAGCAGTCGAGGACAACGCAAAGCCTTGGGACCCTGCACCCACATGTGGGAGACCTGGAAGAAATTCCTAACTTCTGACTTCAGATCGGCTCAGCTGTAGCTGTTGCAGTCACTTGGGGAGTAGATCATCAGATGGAAGGTCTTCCTCTCTGTATATCTGGCTTTCCAGTAAAAATGAAATAAATTTTGTAAAAATGTATCTGATTTTGTTTTCACTCTGATACAGGTTGAATCCCATTTTCAAAACACTGTTAATTTGCAAGGTAGATTTCCATCCATTGGTTCACTTCCCAGAGGCCTGCAATGAAGCGCTCTACTGGGCTGGAACCATGAGCCAGAAACTCAGTCTGCATCTCAGGGGCGGTCGGCACTCTGTTTTAACCGTCACCTGTTCTTTCCATGATACACCTTAGCAGGAAGCTGAGATTGGGAATGGAAGTGGAACTTGAACATTCTGTCTGATACAGCTGCTAAGCCAAATGCCCATCCCTTAATCCTGCTGTTTAATTTTTTTTAAATATTTAGATTTATGTATTTTTATTTGGAAGGCAGATTTTTACACAGAGATGGTTGCAGTGGCCAGAGCTGGGCTAATCCAAAGCCTGGCGCCTGTAGCTTCTTCCAGGTGTCCTACCTGGGTCTCGGGGCCCAAGGACCTGAACTTCCACCACTTTCTCAGGCATATTCACAGGAAGCTGCATGGGAAGTGGAGCATCAGACTAGTGGCTAAAGTCCTTACCTTACAGGCGATGGGATTCCATATGGGCACTGGTTCATATCCTGGCTGGTCTTCTTCTTTTCCGGCTCCCTGCTTGTGGCCTGGGAAAGCAATAGAGGATGACCCAAGGCCTTGGGACTCTGATCCTGCTTGGGAGACCTGGAAGAAGCTCCTGGCTTCAGATCAGCTCTGCTCCAGCCCTTGTGGTCACCTGGGGAGTGAACCAGTGGATGGAAGATATTTGTCTCTCCTCTATAAATGAGCCTTTCCAATAAAAAATAAGTTAAAAGAAAAAAAAAGAAAGAAACATGATTCCAACTGATGTCCATATGGGATGCCAGCACTGCAGAGTAGGCTTCGCCTACTATCGCATGACGCCAGCCCCAGGATACAGTTTAAGATGCTCACCTCTAGCCAATGTTGGCACAGTGAGTACCAATAGTATTTGATGCTGGCATCCCATATGGAAATGCCAGTTAAAATCCTGGATGCTTTGCTTCTAATCCAGCTTTCTCCTATTATACCTGGGAAGACAGTAGATACTGAGCATCTGCCACCCGTGTTGGAAACCTGAGTGGAGTTCCTGGCTGCTGGCTTTGTCCTAGCCCATCCCTGATTGTTGAAACATTTAAGGGCAGAACTAGCAGTTGGAGGATCAATCTCACTCACTCTTACAGTCCATCACTCTGCCTTTGGAATTAATTAAATTTAAAAGACTCACACCTGAGTAGAGAAAAAGTGAAGAAAAGGTTCTATTCCTGGCCATGGCTTTTAACTCCTGCTTTGTGCTAGGTTTCAGTGATGGTGCAAGTAATTGGGTCCCTCCCAGTATGGAGGAGATGTGGATGGAGCAGCTTATGATGACCCAGTACATATGAGCTGGCTCGCTCTCTCAAATAAATAACTACCAAATACTTGTTAAGTTTTTGAAAGACATTTGGTAGAATATATTAAGACCTCACAAAGTATAACTGCCTTAACCTTTGAATTAGTAAATACACTGCTACAGTGAACAGAGGGAGAGAGAAAAAGATTGACTTACTTTTAGGGATGATTTAGAAACAATTTAAATATCAATAATGGAGAAAAGATTTGTGAGCATAATGCAATGAAATGGTATCACATTATAGTCTATGGTCAGGGTCTAAGGCAATAATTTACTTTTTATTTTTAAAAAAGATTTATTTATTTTTATTGGAAAGTCAGGTTTACAGAGCAGAGCAAATACAGAAAGATCTGTCCACTGGTTCATTCCACAAATGACCACAATGGCCAGAGCCAAGCTGATCCAGTGCCAGGAGCCAGGAGCTTCTTCTGGGTTTCCCACATGGGTACAGGGTCCCAAGGTTCTGGGCCATCTTCTATTGCTTTCCCAGGCTTCATCCAGGGAGCTGGATGGGAAGTGGAGCAGTTAGGAACACAAACTGGCACTCATGAGATCCCAGTGCATGTAAGGTGAGAATTTAGGCACTAATGTATTGCACTGGGCCCAAAAGTAGTTTTTTAACCCAAGTGTTATAAGGGAGGGACTCAGGGCATTAAAGCCATTCTGTGAGTTGATGGCAGCGTGAAATGCTAAACACCAGCTCCTGCCCTACTACCTCCCTGGGGAGTGTCCTCTGTGTTCCTTTTTCTCCTTCTCATCCTAATCTCTTGCTTAATTTTTTTTTTTTTCTGTTCTAGGTGGATTGTAGACATGGAGGGTGCACCAGGGACCTTATATGAAGGGGAAAAATTTCAACTCCTATTTAAGTTTAGTAGTCGATATCCTTTTGATTCTCCTCAGGTAATTGCCTTGCTTTTCCAAACTGTATTTTTACTGATAGTAGAATGTTGAAGTCACAGTTTTTGATTTCGTAATAATGTCCAAAAGATTCACTATAAATAGTGGATGGGACCTACTCTTACTCTTATTTGTAATGTAATCAGGGTCTTCTGAACATCTGACTCTGTTGGGATTAGGTCTTTGTCACCCCAGATTGTGTCTTCATTCTACACATTAATAGAAAAGAATAGAAGTCTGATCTGACCCTTGATTGGTAGAAGTTAGTGTTTTGGAATAACTGGAGATACTCCTTGCTGCATCTTGCGACAGAATGACGTGGGGAAGAGGTGAGCATTCAGAGGAGCTAGCACTGTGACTTTGCACTGATGTGCTACTTGCACAACCTTTTAGTATGGCAAGCACAGAGCGCTCCATTGCCAGGCATTATAGATGTGGTCATTGGCCCCAAATCTTTTGTTGTAATTAAGTAATGACTTAGTACTTAGATAGGGGTTATGGTGGTGATATTTAACAGTAGTAAATGAATAATGAGAGGTTAGAGAAAGGAGCCTCTGGGATAACTCCCATATTTCTTGGATCCTGGCTTCGGATCGCACACCACCAGCCGTTGTGCTCACTTGGGGAGTGAATCATCGGATGGAGGATCTTCCTCTCTGTCTCTCCTCCTCTCTGTATATCTGACTTTCCAATAAATAAATAAATCTTAAAAAAAAAAAAAGGAGGAAAACCACGCTTTGTTGCCACATTAAAGAATATACTAAACATAGCTGAGTCTTTCTGTGACACGTGGAAGAATAGTTGCACTGCAGTTATTGTGCTGTGGACAGTTGATTTAAAGAGTAAGATTAAATAGATACTGACTTTGTGGAGTCATCCTGTAAGCAGAAAAGCGTTAAGGCTTTTTATGAAACATTTTCATCCAAGAATGAAGGGAATGTGCATTGTCATGTCCTAGATGTCTATAATAGATCTCGATTATAATCAAAGCAAAAATCTTTCTTCCCTTCAGAAAGTTATCGTTTGTTTCCTATTGGCTTGTAAGCATTATTTCTGGCTATTAATGTGTGAAGGAAGTGGGGAGTCTAATGACTTTATCCACTGGTCACCTTCAGTCTATTTTCCACCTTACTTTGTGTTTGTTGGAGATATGCAGAGATCTAAAAGTACACCACACCAAATTCAAAACTTTGGTCCAGGAGAACGAGAACCTGTTTACTCTTGAAGCTCACAAATTTTTCATCTGAAGGATGATTTCTTAAAAAATGTATTTGTTTTTATTTGAAAGACAGAGTTGCAGAAAGAGACGGAGAAACAGATATCTTCCATCCCCTGCCGCGTTCCCCAAATGGATGAAGAGGTTGGAGATGGGCCTGGACTAGGCTGAGGACAGGAGTCAGGCCCCTCCCTACTCTTTAGTGTAATGCTGACCACACCTCACAAGTCTTGTTGAACAGCAGTTTATATTGCTTAAATTGTTTGACATCTGGAGTGGTGCCTGACAGGGTGATTAAGAGTGAACCCTTTTCATTGAAACTTTGGGGTAAAGCAAAAGAGAAATGAAAGTTAGGGTAGAGGAAGCCAGAAATAAAAAGAATTTTTGATATCCAAGGGAATCTTAACTTTGGTTTCACTACATTGAGTCTTTTGTCTTTGAGTCCAACATTGTTTTCTGCTTGCAGTAGTGGCATTATATGTGAGTGCTGGTTGATGTCCTGGCTGTTCCACTTCAGATTGAACCCCCTTCTAATGGCCTGGGAAAAGCAGTGGATGATGCCCCAAATGTCTGTGCCCTGGCCATCCTCATGGTGCATCCCAGTTAGTCTTCTGGTTGCTGCTTTCAGCTAGTGCCAGCCCTGACTGATATAGTCATCTGGAGCCTGAACTGACAGAGGATAGCCTGCTCGCTCTGACTTTAAATAAACAAACAGATAGATAAATAAATAAACAATTCATTGAAAATTGTTTTTGTCTTTGTGATAACATGTATACCTTTGTGATAGTACTACTCATTCTGTATTACCAGGGAAAATTACTAGTGTTGACAACATACACATGTGAAGACTAACAGAAAGAATTGGATTGAAAGTTGTGTTAAATTTACAATCTCTAGGCACTTTTGTCAAATATTTTTCATACTATAAAACCTATATATCATATTATATCATATTATATTATATTATATTATATTATATTATATTATATTATATTATATTATATTATATTATATTATATATACATAATTAAATACCAGACTTTGTTTTTATTATAACAAATTACCTGCTAACTACTGCCATCTATCTGTGATTTTAATCACTGAAAACATTCCCTCATATTGTTCGGAGGGCAACCTTGGTTTTGTTATTATGGATTGGCATATGTAATTACAGCCTCAGGCTGGCACTATGGTGTAAGTATGCTGTCTATAGTGCCAGCATTCCATATGGGTGCTGGTTTGTGTCCAGCTGTTCATTTCTGATCCAGCTCCCTAAGATTGGCTTGGGAAAGTAGTGCAGGATGGCTCAAGTCCTTGGGCCACTGTATGCATGTGTGAGACCTGGAGGACGCTCTAGGCTCTTGCTTCAGCTCAGCTCGTTGTGGCTAATTAGAGAGCGAACCAACAGATAGGAAATCTGTCTCTGTCTCTTCTGTATGTAACTCTGCCTTTCAAATAAAAGTAGTATTTCTTTCTCCAATTTTCTTTTTATTCTTCCTGTATCTGGGGAAAGGGGGAAAACTTGCACCCAGCATTCTAACCTCATCAGTACCCAGGAGTGAGGGAGCCACCCAGTCTCATCATAATGTCCCCTCTGTGGCATGCTCCAAGGGCACTGCTTACATGCTTTTGATAGTTCTGAGATGCTGCTGATTTCGTTGCTCCAAGGTTGATGAGATCCTTCCAAGGTCCATTGCCTGACATAGTCCACCTCAGAGACTCTATTCGCCCAGATACTTGCTGTCAACACTTGACTGGGAGAGTTTCCCAGTTTGTTCTGCCTTCTGTGGCACTAGACGTCCTCTGCAAGCCTCAATGAACTTCTTTCCTGTCCCACATGTGCATCTTGACATGCTGTCTATTGCACTGGCTTCAGCAACTGAGGAGGCCCAGTTCTGACACATGCATTCCACAGTCAGACCACAGATCCTGTAATTTCCCCATGGTTGAAGTTCTGAGTCCAGTGGTTCAATTGAGGGAGGTCCCTAAAGGAACTTCATCTGACATGACCCTAGACCTGATTGCTGTGTGTGCTTGCCACTTGGCCTTCCCATACACCAGTGGGAACTGCAGCCCAAAGTGACTCCCGATAACCCTCTCAGGCCAGCCCCCAGCCCTGAATCCTGCGCATGGTGGTATTGTTCAGCTACCCATTCCCTCTATCCCACATCCCATTTGGCATTTGTACACACACCAGTGGGTGCTGTGACCTAGCTCAGTCCTTTTGTGTCTTAGTTCTCACTTGCTCTTTAAAATAAGCCACACTGCAAAGGAGATACTGAGAAATTTTGAGACATTCAGGGATGACTGCTGCTGTTGCTGCTGGCTTTTTTCTTTTTTAACTAACCTATCTCCAAGAGTTACCAGTTTATCCTCTTTTCTTTTTAAGATTTATTTACTCTTATGGGAAAGGCAGATTTACAAAGAGACAGAGAAATATCTTCCATCTGCTGGTCCTCAATGGCCACTATGGCCACAGCTGAGCCAATCCAAAGCCAGGAGCCAGGAGCTTCTTCCAGGTGTTCTATGTGGGTGCAGGCGTCCAAAGCCTTGAACCATCTTCTGCTATTTTTCTAGGCAATTGGCAGAGAGCTAGATTGGAAGTGGAACAGTCAGGACATGAACCAGGGCACATATGGGATGCCAGTGCTGCAGGTAGAGGATTAGCCTGTTGAGCTACTGTGCCAGACCCATGGACTGCTTCTTTTTTTTTTTTTTTTTTTGAAGATTTAATTTTTATCTCAAAGTCAGATATTCAGAGAGGAGGAGAGACAGAGAGGAAGATCCTCTGTCTGATGACTCACTTCCCAAGCAGCCTCAACGGCCTGTGCTGTGCTGATCGAAAGCCAGGAGCCCTCAACTTCTTCCAGGTCTCCCATGGGGATGCAGGGTCCCAAGGCCGGTCCCAAGGACGATCCCAGAGTCCGGATCGTCCTCAACTGCCTTCCCAGGCCACAAGCAGGGAGCTAGATGGGAAGTGGGACTGCCGGGATTAGAACTAGCGCCCACATGGGATCCCAGTACGTTCAAGGTGAGGACTTTAGCTGCTACGCTATCACACCGGGCCCCCAAGGCTGCTTCTAATACCAAGTTGGGACTTCAGATGTGATTCATGTGTATTAGAACTAAGACCTTTTTCTAACTTTGTAATATTTCTGCAAAGTAGGCTATTTTTCAGGATTATTTTACACATCTGGTTTATTCAATAAGCATATGTACAGTCTCTGATTGTAAACTGTTTGTCAAACTTGAGTTGACATAGTTCCCATGGTTTCATGTACAATACATTAAGGAGTTACATTTGCTCTGATTGTTTTATTTTCAACTTTAAAATAACTACACTTCAATTAATTAATTAATTAATTAAGGGACAGAGGGCCTGGCATGGTAGCCTAGTGACTAAAGTCCTCACTTTCCATGCACCAGGATTCTATATGGGCACCAGTTCTCATTCAGCTCCCTGGCTGTGGCCTGGGAAAGCAGTTGAGGACAGCCCAAAAGCTTTAGGACCTTGCACCTGTGTGGGAGACCTGGAAGAAGCTCCTGGCTCCTGGCTTTGGATCGGCTCAGCTCCAGCTGGGACATGAACCAGCACCAATATGGGAGCTCAGCCTGTGCTAGGCAAGGACTTTAGCTGCAAGGCTACTGCTCTGGGCCCTGTTTTTTTTTTTTTTAACTGTCCTCCATAACATCACACCAAGGACTAGAGTAGCAAGAATTACATTAAAACTGGCCGCGATTGTTGATTGTGCTGCAGTGAATAGAGGCGTGCAGGTTGGTTTCTCATGTGTGTATCAGTTCTTTTGGATAAATTCCCAGTAGTGGGATTGCTGGTCATATGGTAGGTGAATTTTCAGTTGCCCGAGTATTCTCCTTATTCACTTCCAAAGTGTCTGTACCAGTTTACAGTCTCCCCAGCAGTGGAGTGGGGTACCTTTCCCCCCAACATCCTCGTCTGCAGATGTTGGTAGTTTTCTGTATGTGTGTCATTCTCACTGTGGCAAATGGAAACAACCCAGATGCCCATCGAAGCAGAACTGGATAAAGAAATACTACTCAGATATTAAAGCATAAATATATCCTTTGATATTTGTAAACTCCCATTCCAGACATCTGCAGCATGGATATGACATAATAAATTATAGTTTATATATGTGAAAACTAAAATTGTATTTTAAAAAGCTGCTGGATAGACTGAAATCTTGGAACTATAAGACTGGTCACAATTGCTTTTTGTTTTTAACACAAAATGATGATGTAATTGACAAACTAAGAAATCATCTGAAAAAAAAATTTCTTTTGCTTTGTTGTATTAGTGTCAGCCAAGAAAATGCATCATATGTTATTGTATTTAAAATAATAAAAACTTTATTTTTTGTATGAAAAATTGCATTGTTAATATGTAAATATTTGTGAAAGTATAGTAGAATTGTAGCTAGATATTTTATGTGTCTTCAATAGCTTAGTTTTTCATACATTTCTGTAACATATTCCATATTAACCTACTTTACTCTGGCCATGCTTTTTCCCCTAGCTCTCTTTTCTGCTTTCGAAAGAGGAAACAAAGGGCATGCCTTAGAAGCAACATATGGTTCATCAGTTTGTGTAATAAGATAGGATGTCTTTTCACTGATATTCGCTGTATGCAGGTGTGAGGCAGTTCAGGGCTGAGATAGCTAGATATGCCTCGCTTGGAAGCTGCTTGTTTAATATATATCACGTTACCCACCTAGGAGAGTAAGGCCCTTGGCTTTGTGTTTTTTAACTAGACTGTCATCTGTTGTTGTTGTTTTTTTCAAACCAATGATGAGATCAGGGATTAGGAATTACTGCAAACTGCAAAATAAATGTAGTGCTTATGTTATAAAATTTACTTAAAAGGAGGCTGGGTTAAGTTCTTTAAATTTTTTTATATAGAGATAGTTATTTTGGAATAGCAAACATACCAAAAATTCCTAAACATGAAACTTCTACTTTCTTTGACTATTATTAACACATTCCTTATGCCTATTCAGATGCTTACATAGAGAAATTTGATAAACACTATTGTTTTTGTTCCATTATTATAGGAAAGGAAATAATGACTTCATTACCTTTAAAGTAGTGCTACGGCAAAATGGAGAAAGGAAAAACGGTTGAACTGAGTGAAAGGAAAGGCAGAGAAAAATTGGGAGACTCTGTCTGTTTTTCATCTAGGCACTTAATTATTGCCGATTAACGAGCAGTAATTTATGCCTGCTGTGATGGCTGTGTGAGTTTGTTGCAGTGCTGGCGTGTGCTGCTGTGGTAGGCATGATCCTAACCACCTGTGGTTCATATTGTTTCAGAATTAGAAAGGAGAGAGCTATGTGTGGAACCTAAAAAATTATTCCTAGAAATGTAGTTGCCTTTCACTAGTCGAAAACTGCATAGTAATTTAGAAATTCCACAGAGAAATTATTAAAAGGTAAGCGAAACGTAAAGTAACATAGCTGTCCCCTTCCCATACATGTTATTATTATTACAGTGAAAGCCATACTCAACCGAGTTCATGAAAATTATCAAATAGTAGCTTATCTTGTTTCAGACACTTGATTTTGCTTTGTTTTCATTTTGTTTTTAGAAATGAATAATTGTTATATGTATAGATTGTTTTCTTTTTTTGGTATTCGAGAATATTTGAGTGTTAATGAGATTTTATTCTTTCTTAGGTCATGTTTACTGGTGAGAATATTCCTGTTCATCCTCATGTTTATAGCAATGGTCATATCTGTTTATCCATTCTGACAGAAGACTGGTCCCCAGCGCTCTCAGTGCAGTCTGTCTGTCTTAGCATTATTAGCATGCTTTCCAGCTGCAAGGAAAAGGTAGGACTTTTCAGAACTCCTACAGGTAATATTTCTTCTTTCAGTTTAGTTAGATAAATAATTCTAACAGAAAATTGTTATTATTTGGTGGAAAGACTCATGCTTTTTCTTTTGGAATTTTAGGGAGTGTCATGTTTGGTAATAAATCAAAAAATGATTTTGGTGTCTTTCATTCCGAATATAAGTTTTAATGTTAAATAGATAGAAGTCATAACTACTGTTTTATATTTTTAAAATAGGAGATGTCTGTGTATGTTCTTAAATTTGAATTTTATTTCCATAGACATGCATAGGTCAAAGTATGTAAGAAATTCTAATGTGCAGATTGCATTGAGGAAAACCCCAGAAGCATCATACTGTCCCTTGGTCCTTCTGCAGCTCCTGCCCTGGTGACTTCTTTCAGGGAATTTCCTGCCCTCATGGCTGGTTTGAGACAAGAACCAGTTTAGCTGTAGAACTTTTAGGGCTTTTCCATCTTTTGTGCTTAATAATCCACAGGTTCTATGTCTGATGAAAGTGGAGAAAACAGACTGGACAAGAATATCTTATTTTTTTTAATTTAGCATATCCTTTAAAAGTGCCAGAACCCTCTGTATGTCTCTGGCATTCTTATTCCTGCCTAGGATTGGTGTAGCACAATATTTTATTTTGTTTTAAAATAAGATTTATTTTGTCTGGAAGGCAGAGTGAAAGAAAGAGAGATTCAGATCATACTGTCCCATCCACTGATTTACTTTGCATGGCGTGCAATGGCCAGTGCTGAACCAAGCCAAAGCCAGGTACATGAAACTCCATCCAGAACTCTAACATACTTGAGTCATTTTCCAGTGCTTTCCCAGGTACATTAGCCAGGGAGCTGAGTCAAAAGTGAGACAGCTGGGGATTTCCAACCATGCACTCCAACATGGGGATACCAGTGTTACAAGTGATATTAACTCACTGTGCCACAACATGGGTCTGCTTGCTTGCTTTCTGTTTTTTCAATTTATTTATTTGCAAGGCAGAGTTATAGAGGAAGAGAGATATTCCCATCTGCTGGTTCATTCCCTGAATAGCCACAATGGCTGGAGCTGGGCCATGCTGAAACCAGGAGCTTCTTCTGGGTCTCCTATGTGAGTAGCAGGGACCCAAGCATTTGAGATATCTTCGGCTGCTTCCCTAGCCACATTAGCACCGAGCTGGATTGTAAGTGAAGCATCTGAACTTGAGCTAAAGCCCTTAGTGAATGCTGGCATTGCAGGAGGTTACTTAACCTGATGCACTACAATATTGCAAGTACGTGCATTTTAATGTCTATTCTTTGGGCAGGTATCTGATGCAGTAGTTAAGATTCCAGTCTCATAATGGAGTCCTAAGTTTGAGTCCCACTTTTGTTAGTGGGAGGTGATTTTGTAAGTACTTTAGTGGCTACCTGTGAAAAACTGAGTTCCTGGCTTCTGGCTCCAGCCTGGTCATCTCAGCAAACGAAAGCTCAGATTTTTTTCTCTCTCTCCCTCTCTCTCTCCATCCCTCTCTCTCCCTCCCCCTCTTCCTTTCTTAATAATACTTGTTAGAAACAAAATTAAGTGAAGCCTTTTTTTCCATGAGACTTTAGTTTTGTGTTTTGTTTAAAGGAGAAACAAAATTTGCCTTTGAAAGGGACCTGCTATGTTGTATATTTATTTTCAGAAGGGACATTTTTTCTCTCATTCTCCCAAGTTGGACCATCACCTTTTTTTATTCAGTTAGTGTTTAGAGAACTTTCAAGATAATCATTTTTATTATTAGCTTTAAAAAAGATTTATTTATTTGAAAGGCACAGTGACAAAGATAAGGAGAAACAGAGATCTTCCATCTGCTAATCTTCATCTGCTGTCGCCCAGTTACGTTAGTAGGGAGCTGGGTCAGAAGTAGAGGCAGTACTCAACTCGGGTATTTTACTACATCCTTTGTGCATCTAAAGCAGTAGCTTAGCTTATTGCATCACAACACATCTGCTTTTAGTGCATTTAGCAATAATAGATTATTTAGAAATTGATTATTTAGAATCTGAAGCATTTAACCATTATTTCAACAAGTGTCTTAATGCTAGTTCCAGAAGATGTTTCTTGGTTAGGTTTTGAAAAACAAACAAAATTGTTGTCATCCAAATAATCATGGAAAGTAATGAATTAAATTGTATTTTTTCAAATTGTAAGATTAAAAGCCTTTATGCATAATTCTATGTACTACATAAGGAAAAATAGCAAATGTACCATTATTTAAAAAACACACATCTAGAGTCAGGAATATTAAAATGTATAGTTAATATATGTATATTGTTATTAATACTTCCATTCTTCTTTGTTGTTGGTTTTTTAAGCTGCATTTTAAGATTGTAACTGAGTTATTAATCCCAAGGACTTTAGAAGCAAATCTTATTTTTCCTGTTGTATTTTCTTAATCATCCCAGCACACACATTTAAAACCATTGTGTGTAGTATAGAGCAGTTTGCAGTTAAAAGTACTTCTGTGTTCCTGTTACGTTTAGTGACTAACTAAAAGGAAGGTCAGCCGATAGATACAGGGTTTAGTAAGAAAAGTTAAGAAGTGAGAGTCAGTATATGCACATATCTCTTGCCTGTGCTTTGTGATTATTAGCTTTAGTTTATATTTCAATGCAATGGTTTACTGTTAAAAATTAGAAAATTGGGCCCGGCGCGGTGGCGCAAGTGGTTAAAGGTCCTCGCCTTGCACGCCCGGGATCCCATATGGGCGCCGGTTCTAATCCCGGCAGCCCCGCTTCCCTTCCAGCTCCCTGCCTGTGGCCTGGGAAAGCAGTCAAGGACGGCCCAAGGCTTTGGGACCCTGCACCCGCGTGGGAGACCTGGAAGAGGCTCCTGGCTTCGGATCGGCATAGTATCGGCCCATTGCGCTCACTTGGGGAGTGAATCATCGGACGGAAGATCTTCCTCTCTGTCTCTCCTCTCTGTATATCCGCCTTTCCAATGAAAAAATAATAATAAAAAAAATAATAAAAAGACAAATTCTTTTAAAAAAATTAGAAAATTTTCATGTTCTGTCTGTGAGGGTATGTTGAAAAATTTGTGGAGGAAAGGCAACAGATAATGAATGGCTCAAGTACTTGGGCCCCCGACACCCATGTAGGAGAACTAGATGGAATTCCTGGTTCTTCTTATTCTTTCAGATTTATTTATTTATTTTTTTAAAAGATTTATTTTTATTGTAAAGTCAGATATATGTATAGACAAGAGGAGAAACAGAGAAGAAGATACTCTGTCCAATGATTCACTCCCCAAGTGACCGCAGTGGCCAGAGCTACACCAGTCCAAATCCAGGAGCTAGGAGCTCTTCTGGGTCTCCCATGCGGGTGCAGGGTCCCAAGGTTTTGGGCCGTCCCCACTGCCTCCTCAGGCCACAGGCAGGGAGCTGGATGGGAAGTAGGGCCAATGGGACAGGAATCGGTGGTCATATAAGATCCTGGTGCAAGCAAGGCGAGGACTTTAGCCACTAGGCCATGGCTCCAGGCCCCGGATTTATTTTTTATTTATTTGAAAACCAAAGAATCAGGTCGAGAAGACAGAGTGAAAAATATGTTTCTGTTTGCTGGATCACTTTCTGGAAAGCCCCAACAGGCAAGGCTGGGCTGGGTTGAAGTTAAGAGCTTTGAATTCTATCTGGGTTTGTTACATGGATGGCAAGGGACCAGGTATTTGGACTGTGATTTGCTGCTTACCCCAGGCACATTGCAGGGAGCTATAGGAAGCAGACCAGCCAGGAATTGAACTGACATTCTGGTATAGGGTGCTATCATCTCAGTTGACATCTTAACCTGTTACACCACATTGCAGTCCCCACCCCTTTTAGATACCTACCTAAAGCTCTGTTGTTAAAACAGGTAAATTTTATTCTGTGGTAGACTTTCATCTATGGGGTTTTTTAAACAAAAAAACTCCAAATATTAAAAATTAACTCCAAATATATACTTCATTTTAACAAATATTTGGAACTTTGATGTAGTACATTGTTGTTAGTTCCATTTTACAATGAATGATTCCTTAAGCTGAAGGCATTTGTTCAAGTTATTTATTTTACAAACTGGAGTATGGAGAGGCAGAGGCAGAGCTTCTGTCCACTGGTTCACTTCCCAGATGGCTGTATTGGACAGGTTGGGCCAGACTGAAGCCAGCAACTTTTTCCAGGCCTCACATGGGTGGCAAGGACCCAAACATCTGGGCCATCCTCTGATGGGTTTCCTAGGCCATTTGCAGGAGCTGGGTCAGAAGTGGAGCACTTCGGGAAACAAACGTATCTGATGGGATGTTGGCGTCACTCACAGGTGGCAACTTTTCCTAGCTATACCACAACACTGGCCCCACTAAATGTGCTTAAATGCAGTCTGTCAATAGATTCAGTATATTAGAGGAAATTTCTGGTAATGTGACTGATGACTTTTTAGTAATCCAACCTTTTCTAAGCCCTTATAATATTACATTGTTCAGCCTTCCCAGTTTATATTCTATTGCTTATTTAATTTTATAATACATCTCTTGGTAAAGTTCCTTTTCTACTACCTCCACCCCTCCTAGGACTGTATTTGCCTAATCATTTAACAGTTTGATTATATTCTAAGCCTAACCAAATAGAATGAGTATTTTTATTCTCATATTTTGTAAAGACTGTTGTGATTTTGGCTTCTAAACAAAATAGATAAATGAGTTTGTGAGATTACTTGCTTTAGTAGTAGCAGTTTATTCCACCTGGACACAGATTTGATTTTTCAGGACAAACAGCAGAAGATTATTTATTTCTTCAAGGTAGTGAGATATCTAATTAAAATTTCAGAAATTTCCTCAAAATTTATCAACAAAGTAATCTTGGGATAGCTATTCAGCATTTGTGTTCTGGTGTTGCTTTGTTAATTTCATTTGTTATTAATGCTAACAGGCATTAGGAAGTTCCACTAACATGATTCCACATGTGTGTTTTCTTTACAGTCAGGTGGACTGTTGGCCTTCTGCAATCTTTGTTTCCTGCTTGGAGCTTTGTTAATGACATCTTAAAATTCTACTTTTTTTTAAAGATGTTCATTTTGATAGTCAAAGTACAGAGAAAGAGGTCTTCCATTTGCTGTTCACTTCCCAGATGGCCACATTAGCCAGGGCTGGGCCGGTCAAAGCCAGGAGATCATACGGATCTCCCATGTGGGTGGTAGGGGACCTGGATGCTAGGCATCTTCCAGTGCTTTCCCAGGCACATTACCAGGGAGCTGGATCAAAAGTAGAGTTTCTGGAATTGAAACCAGTCGGCACATGGGATGCTAGCCTCACAGGTAGCAGCTCTATGCAATGCACCACAGTACTGTCCCCCAACCCCATTCTTTTGATTAGATTCAAATAGAGGGAAAAAATTACTTTTTTTTTTTTTTTATCTTCATTAGATTAGCAAAATAGAGGTAACTCCAAAGCTACTTGATAAAAAACATATAAGGGCAAGAAAAAAAAATTGTCAGAATAGTGCTGAAAGTAGAGAGCTAAGATATAGGAATATCTGTCATGCAAAACCTTGTTTTAATTTAACTTAGTTTATAAAATTGCTTACATAGTTGAGGCATGCGTACCCATTTGGGTCTCTGATTAGGGAGAGGAGTCAAGGTATGGAGGAAGGTGAGTGGGACAAACGTTTGAATTTTTTTTTCTCCTGTATTCAAACGGCAGGAGAGGAGGGGTCTGCTTCTTGTTTTCAGACCACATCAGCAAAAGGGGATGGGGAAGTCATTTGATGACGCCTTAGAGACCCCAGTGTGGGGAACAGTGTTCCGAGGATGTTACTTGAATGGTTTTGATAGGTCTGAGAAGACTTGGCTCCATTGCACCAGGAATTGTTCCAAGGTCTATTGGCTGATTAAGTCTACTTTAGTACATTCACAGGTGCCAGAACGTGTTGCAAAGCTTGGCCAGGAGAGTGATCCAACCTGTTCTGCTTTGCATCCTCTGACAAGATACTCAAAGTCCTCTGCTAGCTTAGATAAGCTGGCTGTCATGTCCCCTGTGTGTATCTGAGCATACTGTCCACTGCATGGGCATCAGCAGCTAAGGAGGCCCAGTCCAAATAAACGTACTCCAAGGCTGTACCACATATGTTATGATTTTTCCCTGTGACTGGGGTTTGTGTATGGCCAGCTAGTTGGGGAGTCTCCCAAGAACCCTAACCTGTGTTTACTTCAGACTTGTCTCTTGTATGCCTCAAGAAATGCAGGGACAAGTTCAGCCTATCACCTGCAGCTGCCAGCATACAGTGAGATGCTGTTTGATACCAGGTAGATACAGCTGCTTGGTCAGTTCTGCTCCCAGCCCCATTTCTCACATGAGCTGATGGGTGCTGTGGCCTAGTCAAGGAAACCAGTAATAGCCCCCAGCAAGAGCATGCCCACAGTTTCCCTACCATACCCGTTCCAAGCCCAGATCTTGCACTTGCCAAGGGGTACTGTGGTCCAGCTTAACAAGACTTGCTCCCTTTCCCTTGACAGCTTGTACTGTAACCTGTCCTGACTAGCCCGTACCCATTCTGGCTCTTGTGCATACCAGTGGTTGCAGCAGCTTAGCCCAGCCTGGCCCACCCCCAGTTCCAGATCTCATTGCTCACCAGTGGAAATTATAGCCACCTGCAAGGAATCCCCAGATTTCCCCTACCAGGTCCACTCCCAGCCTCAGGTTTTGGCGCATGCCAGCAGGTGCTGCAGCCCAGCCCAAAATGGTCTACCTGCAGTCTCAGCATTCACCAGCAGATGCTGCAGTGTATCTCACCCTGACCTGCCCTCAGTTGCAGTTCTTGCTGTTGGGTGCAGCAACCTAGCCCAACCTTGACTGGCCCAGCCCAGCCAACCCCCAGATTCAGCTCACACATATGCCAATGGATGCTGCAGTTCAGCCTGGCCTGCCCTGGCTCTTGTACTCACTAGCAAGAGCTGCAGATTAGTAGGGGAGTCCCCAGAGTTCCTCTACCAAGCCCATTTCCAGCCTCAGATCTTGCACATGCTGACAGGATCTTTTATCCAGCCTGACAAAGTCTGCCTGCAGTCTCAGCTTTGCTGGCAGATGTTGCAGCCTAGCAGAGCTGGGCATGGCCCATGCGGTGTCCTGGCTCTTGTGCATGCCAGCAGTGCTGCAGTGTGGCCCAGCCCAGCCTGCCCCCAGACTCAGCCCACACAAATGCTGACAAGTGCTAGAGCATTGGCTGTCACCTACAGAATCTACCCTAGATCCAGTTCAGACAAACCTAGTTAGGTAGACCTTTAAATTTTAATCAAGTCACAATAATAATTATTTCTTTTAAAGATTTATTTTTGTTTGAAAGCCAGAGTTAGAAGAAAAATTGTTTCTTAAGAAATTATGATGTGAAATAAAAATTCTTTATATCTGAATGCTATCTATTATTTTTGGTTATAGTCATTCTGTTAGTGATTTCACTGCAGTCTGACCTAGACCACGCACATATACAACCATCACTGTTTTGAAAAAAACAATTTATTGTCCAAAAATATGTTTTTCTGGATATATTTATAGTTTTAATTTTTTGTTACGCTGTTAGTGTTGACTGTTTTTATACATTCTGTAATAACTGTGTATAAGCTTTTCTTCAAGCAATCTCCTCATTAGCTTTTTTATTCTACAATTTCTTAGCTGTTTAAACTCTTTTGTTTCAGAGACGACCACCAGATAATTCTTTTTATGTGCGAACGTGTAACAAGAATCCAAAGAAAACAAAATGGTGGTATCACGGTAAGCAGATTTAGTTTGTCTTAGTAAATATTTTTGCTTTTTTGACTTGATGGATTTATGTATTTGCTATGACTTGAATGAAGGATATAATATTGTGCTTTTATAAATTAAAGGTTCTTACAAATACTGTAAGATAGCTTACTTCTATTTTTATTTGAGAAGTAGAGAGAAACAGATCTCTCATCCCTCTAGTTCATTCTGCAGATGCCTACATCCACAGCAAGGCTGGGCTGAAGCCAAGAGCTCAACTCAGATCTTTATGTGAATTGCAGTGATTCAGTTATGTGTGGTGTTACTGCTGCCTCCTTTGTGCATTAGGAGAAGGCTGGAGCTAGTAGTAGGAGCAGGGCGTCTTAACCCCACACTCTGATACAGTGTTTTAGTCACTAGGCCATTTACTTGCCCCCAGACTAGATTTTTAGTTGGAAAACAAAATACATCTATCCTACAAGTAAAACCTGTAAGTATTTTAACACTCAGACGATACTGTTCCTTCTTCCTTCTTTTCCTTCTCTTCCCTTCCTTTCCCTTCTCCTCTTCCCCTCTCCCCCTTCCTCATTCCCCTTCCTTTCCGTTTTTCCAAAGTCAGACTTACAGAGATCTTCTGTCTGCCCTATCACTCCTCATTTGGCAACTAAGGCCAGGGCCGAGTCAGGCTAAAGCCAAGAATTACATCCGGGTCTCTGACATTGATTGTAGGGGCTCAAGTACTTGTGCCACCCGTATACGGGGATGTACCGTTAGCAGGGAACTGGCTTGGATGTGGAGCAGCGAGGAAATAAACTGGCACCCAGGCATCCAGATGGGAATCTGGAGTCTCAGCTAGTGGCTTTACCCACTTCAACACCATTCTAGCAGCACCCCGTGCCATTTTTAAAGTTTTTATTTATTTGAGAAGCCAAAAGAAAGACAAGTAGAGATAATGGTAGTTTTGTAATTTAGAGCTGCTAGAATTTTTTCTGAACTAACCTTAGTGCTTCCACAAAGAAACATTTGAAAATAAAACAAAATGTCAAAAGCAAATAAAAACAAGCAAACAACAACAAAACCCAAAATGTCTGCGTTCCATAATGTTCACTGGGAAGAGTTAGAAAAACTACTCTTTGTGATTATACGCACATGTGATTATCTCCTTGTGTTCCTGCCTGGTTTTCATTTTTGCTGATCTAATGCAAGTTAAAACTGCAAAACTAAAGGAAAACTAACCTTCTGTCTTTTTAAGCAATTTGAAACATCTGTATCCTCACTTAAATTGAATAAATTACAAATTTAAAAGAGTTCTTCTGGACCTGGCATGGTAGCCTAGTGGCTAAGGTCCTTGTCTGTATGTATCAGGATCCCAAATGAGTGCCGGTTCTAATCCTGGCAGCTCCCTGTTTGTGGCCTGGGAAGGCAGCTGAGGATGGCCCAAAGCCTTGGGACCTGTACCTATATGGGAGACCTAGAAAAAGGTCCTGGTTCCTGGCTTCAGATTGGCTCAGCTCTGACATTTAAGGCCACTTGGGGATTGAACAAGTGGATAGAAGATCTTCTTCTCTGTCTCTTAACTGTGTGTTTGACTTTCCAATAAAAATATATAAATCTTTAAAAAACAACAACAACAAAAAGATTTCTCCTGGTGTTGAAACAAAAGGTGGCCAGTCAATGAGACAGTAGTGCTGTGTCAGCCAGTACATATAGGGAAACAGGGAAAGAAGAATGCTATTCCTGGGCTCAGCATAGTGGTATAGTTAGTGAAGCTGCTTGTATCACTGGCATCCCATATGACACCAGCTTATGTCCCGGCTGCTGCATTTCTCATCCAGCTCCCTGCTAATGGCCTGGAGAAAGCAGCTGAAGATGGCTGAGTGTTTAAGCCCCTGCAGGTCACATCAGAAACCCAGATGAGGTTCCTGGCTTTAGCCTGGCCTAGGCTCAGCTGTTAAAGCCATCAAAAAATGCTACTCCTGAGACTGGAGGCAGGTGCCTTTTCCTTTAGAAAAGGAAAGTTCAAGTGCCATAATTGTAGTTAAACTGCTTTCTATAAATGATACTTGCAGTTCTAAGGGCTCTGGTTAGAGTCCCAGGTGTTCTACTTCCATTTTACCACACTTTGCTAATGTACCTGGGAAAGCAGCGAAAGATGATCCAAGTGGCTGATCCCTGCTCCCCATGTGAGACAGCCAGGTGGAGCTCCTGGCATCTGCCAAGCCTAGCTGATCATTATGGCCATTTTGGGGAGTGTGCCAGTAGCTGGAATGCATGTCTCCCTCTGTCTCTCTTTTTCTAACAATGCCTTTCTTTTTTTCTTTTAATTCTTTTTTTTTTAAGATTTATTTTTATTGTAAGTCAAATATACAGAGAGGAAAGACAGAGGGGATGGTCTTCCGTCCGATCACCAAGTGACCGCAACGGCTGGTGTTTTGCCAATCTGAAGCCAAGATCCCAGGAACCTCCTCCAGGTCTCCCACATGGGTGCAGGGTCCCAAGGCTTTGGGCCGTCCTCCACTGCTTTCCCAGACCACAAGCAGGGAGCTGGATGGGAAGTGGAGCTGCCAGGATTAGAACCGGCGCCCATATAGGATGCTGGCACGTTCAAAGCGAGGACGTTAGCCTCTAGGCCATGCTGTCGGGCCCAGGAACAATGCCTTTCAAGGAAATAAAAAAATTTTTTTAATGTTAGGGAAGAAAATATAGATAAGAAGCGCAATGTAAAAATGTAAAGGGTAATAGAGAATGAAATCAACTAGTAAAAGTAGATCTGTGAAAATGAGATTAGCTACAAAGCTCTTACTGTATATAACATTGAGGAAATCTGTTATTAAATCAGAAGAAAAAAAAGTCATCGTCTTAGAAAGCTAGTAATTATTTTTGAGAAAGCTATTTACTTCATATAAAATACTTGCAATTGGGGCCAGCATTGTAGCATAGCTGGCCAAGCCTTCGTATGTGATACTGGCATCGTAAATGGTCAACTGATTCAAGTCCGGGCTAATTCAATTTCCATCCAGCTCCCTGCCAGTGTGCCTGGGAATGCAGCAGAAGATGAACCAAGTACTTGAGTCCCAGAACCTCATGGGAAGCTCTTAAGCTCCTAGTTTCAACCTGGCCCGACGCTGGCTGTTTCCTCTTTTTGGAGATTGAGTCAGTGGATGAAGGAGTCTCTTTTCATCTGTCTGTCTCTGTGTTTCCTCTTCTGTAACACTGCCTTTCAAACCAAAAAATAATAATTTAGGGCCCGGCAGCGTGGCCTAGCGGCTAAAGTCCTCGCCTTGAACACCTGCTGGGATCCCATACGGATGCCAGTTCTAATCCCGGCAGCTCCACTTCCCATCCAGCTCCCTGCTTGTGGCCTCGGAAAGCAGTCGAGGACGGTCCAAAGCCTTGGGACCCTGCACCCACGTGGGAGACCTGGAGGAGGTTCCTGGGATCCTGGCTTCAGATTGGCATAGCATCGGCTGTTGCGGCTCACTTGGAGAGTGAATCATCGATCAGAAGATCTTTCTCACTGTCTCTCCTCCTCTCTGTATATCTGACTTTGTAATAAAAATAAATCTTTTTAAAAAATCAATTAAAAAATAATAATTTTAAAATATTTACAATGGGTTATATATTTTTTGAAAACTTTTAAAAAATATATTTGTGTGAAAGCCAAAGTTAAAGAGATCTGATTGATATGTTCAGTGATCAATCTTCTATCCATTGGTTCACTCCCCAATGGCCTCAATAACCAGAGTTTAGCTGGTCTGAACTATGAGCCAGAAAGTTCCTTTGGGTCTCCCCACATAGGCGCAAGGACTTGAACCATCCTCCTCTACTTTCCTGGGCCTTTAGCAGGGAGCTGGATCAGAAGTGGGGTGCACTGACTCCAAAAGCACATTTATCTTTTCTAAGATGTATTTCTTTTATCTGAAAGACAGATTTTACAGAGACATAGATCTTCTATCTACTAGTTCACTTCCCAAATGCCTGCAATGGCCAGATCCAGGCTAGCAGGAGCTAGGTGCTTGTTCCTGGTCCCCCACATGGGCCCTGGGACCGAAAGACCTGAGCCATCCACCGCTGTTTTCCCAGGCCATAAACAGAGAGCTGGGTTGGAAGTGGAACAGTGGGGACACGAACCATCATCCATAAAGGATACCAGTGCCATAGAGAATTAGTCTGCTACACCACGGTGCTGGCTCCCCTTAAGATTGATTTGTTTCACAAAGCAGAGCTCAGAGACAGATCTTCCATCTACTAGTTCATTCCGCATATTGCCACAACAGCCAGGGCTGGGGCTGGCTAACACTAGCATCCAGGAGCTCCATCCAAGTCTCCCAAGTGAGTGGCAGGGATGTAGATATTCAGGCTGATTCCTGCTGCTTTGCCAGATGCGTAAGTAGGAAGGTGGGTCACAGTTAGAGTAGCTCATAAGGGATACTGAAGTTGTAGACGCAGGCTTAACCCACTGTACCACAACACTGTCCCTGTATAACACATTAAATATAGTGAAAAAACATGTATAACATGCATAGATAAAAATATAACTCAGTAAAATTATAAATTTTTGAATTCTGGAATTATTGGTAATTGGATTGGTAGCATTTTATTGAATACAATAAACAGAATAAAACTTTGCTGTTGTTATATAGCAAATTAGGAATACTAGTTATTGTTGGGTTTTTAAGACTATTTACCTATTCTAAGGACAAAGTTACAAAGGGAGAGCAGAGGAGCCTCCATTCCCCAAATGGCTGCAGTGGTCATGACTGGGACAAGCTGAAATCAAAATTCGGAAGCTTCATTTGGTTCTCCCACTTACATACCAGAATTCCAAGCTGTTGGACTGTATTTTGGCTGTTTTCCCAGGCACGTTAGCAGGAAGCTGGATTGAAGCAGAACACCTGTGACTCTAAACCTGTTGACTGGCTGCTTTTATGGAATGCTGAGGAAACACTTCAGTAGTATTTAATAAGCTAAATGTTGAAGGTGAAATTTTCTTAGTATAAACCTCTGACAATCTATACTAAGAGAATAATCTTAAAATATTAGTTGAAGGAACTTTGAAACCTTTATCTTTCTTCTTCACCAACCATGCCTCAGATTGTAGTTTTAAATGGCCGAGTCTTATAATGCCCCAGGAAAACAGCACAAGTGACTTTGGTATCCTATGAAGAACTTTAGTCTTTGGTCAGGGCATGAAGAACTCTTGGTTTTATGCCTGGCACAGTAACCTAGTGGTTAAAGTCCTCGTCTTGCATCCACTGAGATCCCATACGGGTGTTGGTTTGTATCTTGCCTGCCCCACTTCCCATCCAGCTCCCTGCTTGTGGCCTGGGAAAGCAGTCAAGGACAGCCCAAAGCCTTAAGACCCTGCACTCGTTGGGAGGCTTGGAGGAAGCTCCTGGCTCCTGGCTTCAGATCAGCTCTGCTCATGCTGTTACGGCCATTTGGGGAGTGAACAAGTAGATGGAAGATTTTTCTTTTTGTTTCTGTTTCTCTGAAAATCTGCCTTTCTTTTCTTTCTTTTTTTATGATTTATTTTATTTTTATTGGAAAGACGGATATACAGAGAGGAGAGACAGGAAGATCTTCCATCCGATGATTCACTCCCCAGGTGGCCGCAACGGCTGGAGCTGAGCCAATCCAAAGCCAGAAGCCTCTTCCGGGTCTCCCATGCGGGTGCAGGGTCCCAAAGCTTTGGGCTGTCCTCGACTGCTTTCCCAGGCCGCAGGCAGGAAGCTGGATGGGAGTGGAGCTGCCAGAATTAGAACCGGCGCCCATATGGGATCCTGGGTGTGCATGGCGAGGACCTTAACCACTTGCGCCATCATACCGGGCCAAATCTGCCTTTCGAATGGAAATGTAATAAATCTTTTCTAAAAATTTGTTTAAGAACTTTTGGTTTCATAGGACAGTGATACAAGGAGCATTTTATTCATGGAATGATCAGTGGGACTCTATTTATAATAATGTAGACCCTACTCATTCCACTCTCTGTTGCCTGTGTACAAGCTGTTTGCCGAGAATGAATACTCCTCCAACACATGGACACTTACCTTTCTTGGAAACTTCTTCACCCAAAGTGTTGTCAAGTATTGCTTTTTTGAGGAACCCAATCAAATCTGCTACTGTGCTTAAAATGGAGTTTTATTTTAGTTTCTGCGATGTCTCCAGATATAGCTCATTATTTAAGACCTATTGTTTTAGATATTCTTAGAACAAATTGTCAGACTCAATAATCTAGCTTAAAGAAATCCTTAGGGAGATGGCTTTGTGTTGTAATGGGTTAAGCTGCCAACTGTAGCTCCAGCTTCTTTTATGGCCGCCTGTTTGAGTTCCAGCTACTTCATTTCCAGTTCAGCTGCCTGTTAATATGACTGGGAAAGCAACAGAGACTGGCAGAGTCCTTGGCCCTTGCACCTCTGTGGAAAACTCTAGTGAAGCACCTGGCTTCCTCTTGGCCTAGTCCCAGCCTTTGTGACCATTTGGAGAGTGAACCACTGTCTGTCTGCTTCTCTCTCTTTCTGTGTGTGTGTGTGTGTGTGTGTGTGTGTATGTAACTCTGCGTTTCAGATAAAATTTTTTGTAGGCATTGCTATTTTCCTAAGACTTTTAATATGATCATTGTGGAATTAAATGGCTCTCCAATTAAGTTTGCAGTGAGAGAGGGGGGGAGAAAACTTTTCAGTCAGTGGCTCATTCTATAATGGCTTCCAATGTCAGGTCTGGGCCATCACACAGTGCAGGGACCCAAGCACTTGGACCATCCTCTGCTGCTTTCCTGGGCACATTAGCAAAAAGCTGGATTAGATTTGGAGCAGCCAAGAACTAGACCTGCATGTGGGATGCTTTGGCTTTTGCCTCCTACATCACAAGGCCAGTCCTTGGTTGTTTTCATTTATTTTTTTAAGATTTATTTATTTTTATTGGAAAGTAGATTTTACAAAAACGGGCAACAGTCAGAGAGGAGCTGATCTGAAGCCAGGAGTTTCTATCTCATGGGTTCAACTGCGCAAGGACTTGAGCTGTCTGCTGACTTGCCAGGCCATAAGGAGGGAGCTGGATCAGAAGTGGAGCAGCCTAGGACACTAACCGGCACCTGTACGGGATGCTGGTGCTTGCAGTGGGGAGGATTAGCCTGCCATACCACCACATCAGCCTTAGTAGTTTTTTGTTTTTAAGATTTATTTATTTATTTGGAAAGTTATGGAGAAGGAGAGATTGTGATTTGGTGGTGAAGAAACAGTATTGTCTTCTCAGTCTGAAGCTATGGCTTGAATTGCTCTGTGCTAAAGGGCGCACAGTGACCACCAGGAGTCTACTTCCCATCCCACCTTGCCACAGCTTATTGTTACTCATGAGAGAAATCTCTTAGGATTGCTACATTCTGAATTTTTGTGAACACATACCAATTTATTATTTTTAAAAGAATTAATATACCAACAATAGATCATTTTAAGGTTTGTATGATCTACCCTTTTCTTAAAGAGTAATTAAATGCGATTTTGAGTTTTTATTGTCAGGGAGGCAAGTGTATAAGCCATATTCTTTTTGGTAATGAAAATATTTCTACATCAGGTTAATTTGTGTATTTTACTCATGCTTACTTAACTTTTTAATTCTCTTTTTTCTCCTTTTCTTAAAGATGATACTTGTTGATGATGCCACTGTTGTCATCCTCCTAGCAGAAGATAGTCCTACTGAGAAAATGAGCACTTTGATCATTCAGTCTTTGAACTTTAACCTTTGACTGGAAGTGACCTATAGGCAATGAAGACTACTTCCTTTTACTGCATTTTTACTCGTGTGCATTCTGGGCGCATGTTGATCGCTGGTTCAGTCCAGGCAACTGACATGCTTTTATTAGTCATACAGTATCAATGCAGGTGTCAGGAAATGTCAAATATAATTCCATTTTTTATTTTTATTTTTTTAAGCGTTTGGAATAGTTCCAGGTCCTCATGTATTGTGCAATAACAATGACTTCCCTGGTGGTGTTGGGACGTTCATTGCCGGCAATGGACGTCATAACAGGAAAAGTTTTTCATTAACTTCTGCCACTCGATGATTAATGCATAATAGGGCCTATGAAATGAACTTATCGGTTATGGTGGGGATTATAAATAACGTGAGGGATCCAACATTACTTTGAAAGTCACCCCAACTGTTTATATTTGGATTCTATGCACTGTGATCCTGAGGTTAACAGCATGAATTAACATGCGTCTTCAAAGGACTGTAATGAAAGATCATTGCGTATTTATTTAATTGTTTATATCTGCTGTCAAATTGTTTTGACATGGAAGGTTTTCAAGTAACATTGGCAGAGAGGTACAATATGTTATCCCTATGGTGAAAATAAATTTGTTGTATATAATTCCTCAATCTCTGAAGTGAAGGTCTGAGTAATATAGGGTCTGACTGGTTTAATCAAGGCTTTATTTTGGAAGTAAGAAAAATGGCAGTAATGATTAAGTTGCTGCAGTCCATAAATTGGGCTTGTTATTTGTGTATTAAAGGTTTTTTTCCAAGTAGATTACACTCGGTTACTTCCTGCTAGCCATCAGCATGAGCCCTACTGCCTAAACACTATTTCATTTATTTATGTTTGGAAAATCCATAAACATTTTTGTTTGCAATCTTGTTTCTTTTGTTATGTTTTAAGTCAAGTTTGAATGTTATATATTACCTTAATTGAAAAACTTTTGTCAAGCTTTTTCTTGTAAACTTTCTTTACTTGTAAGTATCATCTTGTCTCCAATTCTGTACCCTAAAATAAGAAATACATTTTTGACAGAGGCTTAATGTTTTAACGAGAGTGTGGACATTTTTATTTTAAATTTAGGCAAAAGTACACTATAAAATGGTATGTTTGCTTGTTTGTCTTCACAACCATACATTTTTTCCTGGAAGGATTTATTTTGTTTGCTTGTTGAAAAGACTTTGCTTATCGCTAGCTGAAATTTTTCTATAGAAAAAAAAGTTGTTCAAAGGTCCAATCCTCAGTACCATGTAAGTTAGTGCTACAGCTAGGTTCACTTTTTAAAAAGTGATTATTGTATTTTATAAATTAATCTTTTCACATATGCAAAATCTGTTTCTACTATAATGTTATTTTTACTAATGCCTTATTGTTGCACTCTTTTTGAAATATCCTACAGTGAATATATGGATCAATTTGGGTTTAAAGGTAAAAGCCAGTTGGCTGAAAGGATTGAAATATGTACCCCAGTAAAACCATCCAATTAATAATTGGTAAATAATGTTTTAAAAGTTGTTTTTAATCTCTGTATAGATGACATTTTGTAGCTTTGTACATGTTAATCAAGGGCATATAATTTTACACTCTAAAAAATATAATTGCTGAACTCAGGGGTGGGTAGACTTCAAAATTATGTCTGCTATAGAAATAACTTGAAAAACAAAAAACTTGGCCAGCCACCAAATTGTGGACACTGTTTATACCATGAGCTAGCAATTACCACTTTTTAAAAATTTGAAACGTTTTTGTTCAATTTGGACTAAACGTAAATTCTCATAGTGTTCTATCAGTTTTATTAGTTGGCTGTTTAACCAAGAGAGAAAATATTTGGATTATTGATAGTTTTTAACTGCTTGTTATATGAAAATTGCAACTATAAATTATATATTTTCATATTTTAGAAAACTGGTCTAAACTACTGATTGACATCATCTTTTTCCAGTATGTTAGGAAGAAATCTCTCTTGTGTGTTTCTGGTCCTCCTAACTAAATCCTCTTATAAGGAAATGACCTGTGACATTTATTCACCAAAGGAATTAATATACCAGGTCAAAGATTAGCAGTGCTATACTATAGATTAATAGATCATATATAGCCTCAGTTTGAGTTTTTATAAGTATTTTAACATACCTCTCTCTCTAGATGTAGATATGGTAAAATCAAATAAAGCAAACAAAAAAAAACCAAATAACTTCAGTATGTTTTATGTTTTAAAGAGAATAAGATGAAATATCCTAATAGGAGCACCAGTTGTTCAGAATTCATAATCAAATTAACATCATTCCTACGGAATATAGGAGTTACTGAAAATTGCTTTGCACTTAGAGTTAATTAATTTTATATTATTGTTAAAATATTGTAAGTTACATTAGTGAAAGTCTTCGTTTATCTGAGTCATTGCTCCAGAGGGCAGTTAATGGCTTTGTAATTATAAGCAGAATATTTCCTTGTAATGTGTTGTTGAAAGACAACCAGAACACAAAGAAAATGTACATAGGAGTATGCTACTTCCTCCTTCTCCGGTTTTCCTCCATGGTGCATCAGGCCTGTAGAATTAAGCTTCAAATAGAAAATAGGTATTCTCTTCTTTTTTATTTATTTATTTATTTATTTTAGGCCATTCTGCTGGTTTGCCAAATTCTGTTACAACAGTGATACATTCAGTTCTTATTTATGCATGCATACATAATGAACTTGATGCCCTCTCAGAAATTCTTTTTCAAGTAGGAATTAATATCATAAGTTTGAAAGAGAAAGATACTTTTGATCTTTTAAGGGAAATTGAAAAACACATTTTATGGCTGTTGTCTTAAGGAATTAATAATAGTCACTTTTAAAGAATTTACTTGTAATATGTAATTTTTCCTTTTAGCCATCAGGGAAATAAAGCATTTTTAACTATCCAGAAAAATGCTAAAAATAGCTTTTTTATAGTTAACAATAGCACTGAAGAAAGATCTTGATCCTTGTTGTTTTGACTGAAATTATAAATATTTGGTATAAAGCAACTAGAATAGTTTGCTACTTTTGCCCTCCTGAAATATTAAATATATGCAGATATATTGTCATTAGATTCTGGTGGTGAATAATTTCTTCAGATTCTAAAATAGGTATCTAGTAACTGTTGATTATCCCCAGATTGCATCAAAGATGAATTGACAAGTGATAGAAATAAGTAGTGATAATGAAAATGGTATGTAAGTAACTACATATTGTTTCCAGGGATCCAGTCTAGTTTTTAAAAAGCTTATTGTTTCTGAGAATTGAGACATTTAAAACTTGTTAAAACTTGCTAAAAATAGAAGAGAAGAGGAGGTACTGTGTGTTCAAAAGTTTTTTTTAAATAAAGAATTCAGTGTCACTAGTTCTAAGCCTTTATGGTTACTTTTGCTTATGTTTCTCAGTCTCACTTTACTCATTTTTATGCATACCTTAGCTGAATGGCTATAATTTATGATTGTGTGTAATTGTGTATGTAAGTTAGTTTTTAGGAAGAATTGAAGCTTAGTTAACTGGGGTTTGCTTTTTGTTGTCAAAGTAGGTACTATACTATTTGGTATGCCAGTGCCTTTCCTGACTCTGCAGGATTGTGACCTGTGGAGAAGGTGTCTTTTGGTCTGCAACAACCAGTTCCAACCTTTTTCTGGCTTTTTGAAAATACCTTTTCTTCTTCTTCCTTTCTGTCTCTTCTCACAGATGTTTGACATGCGTGAATCTTCAGCATTTGCCTTTTCTGACTTCTAAATTGTTTTTTTTTTTAAGTTGGAGAATCCAGAGAAGATTATTAATTACAACAGAAGTTTTTGAAAAACTAAAAAAAGAAAAAACAAACATAAAAAGAAAACACTATCTTATTCAAATTCCTGATAGTCCCTTCATTAGTAGATTGTTGATTTTGTGAATATAACTCTTTGGTGAGTGAGTTGTAGCTCTAATTCATTTCTAAAATACTAGTACAGAAAAGGAGGGCGTTGGAAGTGGGAACTCTTCCCCGTGCCTAACTATTGCTTAAATGAATTAAATTGTTTGTTTTCCACTTAAATTCCTTCAGTCATTTTGAGATGTGGAATTATTTTTCTAAAATTATTTGTAAAGAGTCTTGCTTTCGCAGCCAATTTTGCATTGATATTAAGATAGGATTGTATACCTGATCGTCATTACAGACTCTGGAACCTGAGCATGGACTACAAGCCTGGCCTGTCCTGCAGGTTGATGTGTGGTTCTGACTGAGATCCTGCTGGGTGAGATGATGATTGTTCAAGGGTTGACACTGACACTTGTTTTCGGGGATGAGTCTTCAGAATGATTATAGTACTGTTTTTTAACAAAGGGTGTTTTGTTGATAAAATAGCACCTGAAGCCATTTTGAATGTGTGGAAGGAATGACTGAATAGACGCTTATGACAAGAACTCTGGCTTTACATGTTGAATGAAAACAAGATCCAGTTCTAGCTGTTTCTTGACACATGCCCTGTTTGAGTTTTAACAAAATGTAGAGCCTATAGTAGTTCTAAGCTGTTGTCTCAAAGTCAAACGCAAGATTGCAGAAGATACTAGGTTTTGAATTGTGACAAAACTTGTCAGATTTCATGGCATATGGAAAGACTGATTACACCTGCCTCTTACAAAAGGTTGAAATAGGACTGTTTAGGAACTCAGTGGTTTTGTCAAGTATGACAATGTGTCTCATCATAGTTAACTGCAGATTCCTTATGTAAATGAAAACGGTCAAGTTCGAGGTAAAAAAATTAATTGAATGAATTTTTAGGTTAATTATCTGGTAACTAAGAGTCAAGTACATGTACAAATTAAATGAATTTGTTCATTTATGTTGGTACTATATTTCTCACAATTTAGAAATAAAGATTGTGCTTGAGGATTTGAATAGGGTGAATGTATATATTTTATAAATTCAAGTTGCAAAATATGTAAAACTCACTTTTTAACTATAACTGTTACAACAGACAAATCTGTTATATATTTTTAAATACATGTATCAAACTTTTGTTAGTTGAATATAGATTACTTTGTGTGCTTTATGGAATTAAGTAACTTTTAAAATAAAGCAGTTGTCATTTGACTTTTTTCTGTAGAGTTGAATACTAAATGGAATAGATGCTAGACTTCTTTGTAGTGTATAATAATGTAAAATTACTTGCATAGTATTTTCTGTTTACGAGATGTTGATCCTTAAAAGATAATGACCATCTGAAAAGATAGTCTGTCCGTTTCCAAAGTGAGTGCAGAGGAATGCAGCGCTACAGCTACTGACTTACAGGTCCTCTCTATTTCATAGAATAGCCAGTTGGCTTGAGTGGCTCTGGATGCTTTAAGTCAGTCCTGAACACCTTCAGGGAAAATAACAATTTAATATCCCTGAACTTCAAGTTTCGTGACATCAGTCATTCTGTGAAAACTTCTGGATGCTTTTCTGACGATACAAATAGATCACCTGATTGACTTCGTTCAGTGACTACTGAAGCGTCGAGACAAAACAAGGAAATAAGCAGGAAAGGGTGCTATGTCTGCATCTGTTATTACAGCAGGAAGAAATTAAATATGCTCTGCTGATACTTCTGTTTCTTTTCCACAAGGGATCTACTTGCCTTAGGAGCACCTTGGTCCTCATTTTGGCTCCATTACTACCATGTAAACTGTCATGTCTCGACAGGTGCTTTTCTGCCCTAGACTAGTAGCTGGTTAGGTAAATGCAGGCTCCAGTTCCTGTGCAATTTGATGGCACTCTTTCCCTTTGTTCTAATCTTTAAAATAATGTTTACCTCACACAGTAGGTATGACTTTCCCACTATGGGTAAGGGACTCTTCTCTGTTCATCTCTGCTCTATTCTTTAGTACTTTTCATACAGACTTTAACAAAATATATGTGCGCTTACTGGAAGGATCAAATGACACAGCAGGGGTTTCTGTATTTTTTAGTAAGGTCCAAAGCCACAGTGGTTCTGAATATGTTCTGTTGGGGAAACCATGTCACTAAATTGGTCTGAATGCTTTGAGGTCTTTTTTTTTTAAAATGCTTCTGATTAATACAAAATACGCACATGGAGAGTATCAATGTTTTCATAAAATTGAGATGTCTGTCTGTACCTAGCCTTCAAAGACCAAGTGTTGGTGATTATATAACTGGATAGTTATATCCTGCAGACATCCAACCAACAGATTTTTTGTCTCTTACCCTGATAAAAGTATGTTTCTCCTGTTTTTCTTGTGATTTAATGCATTCCTGTCAACCTAGTTATCCAGATAGGATCCAACACTTTTTACTAGTCGTCTGCCTGTTACATTCTTCATCAATCCCCATTGAGCCCGTATGTTTAAAGCTAGTGATATCCAGTCCCCTTGCAATTACGACTCTTCACCACACAGACCTGGGTTTTCTCAGGTTGCTCTTCCACAGTAAGCAGATCTTGGAAGTAATGCAAGACACATGTGCTTGGCTGCTGATCTTCCCTGTTCTTAAAAGCTTCACTGTCTCTTTCTCTGCCTGAAAGGAAAGTTGAAATGCAGAAAAATTATTAGCTTTGTCTCTTCACCTCCTCATGCCCTACTAGCTCTGTCCTGAACTCTTAACAGTAGGGACTGTGTTTCTATTTTTATCCCCAGCACATAGCACACAGTACCTATCATGTATGTTTTAACAAATGTGTCTAACTTGATTATTCTTGTATTTTTACAATAACCTTTTCAAAGAAATTATGTGCCAACTACTTCTTTTTTAAAAGTTTGACATAATGGAGAGCGGCACGATAGCTTAAGGGCTGAAGTCCTCACCTTGCGTGTGCCGGGATCCCATAATGGTGCTGGTTCATGTCCTCAAGGCCCTGCTTCCCACCCAGCTCCCTGCTTGTGCCCTGGGAAAGCAGTAGAGGATGGCTGAAAGCCTTGGGACTTTGCACCCATGTTGGAGATCTGGAGGAAGCTGCTGGCTGTTGAGTTCAGATCAGCTCAGCTCTGGCTGTTGCAGCCACATCGGGAGTGGACCTATGGATGGAAGATTTCTCTGTAAAACTGCCCTTCCAAAAATAAAGATTGATAGAGTAGGGTTAAGAGAGTCATTTGGTTTGCTTCCAAGGTGCCCACAAAAGCCAGGTCTGGGCCAGGACTCCTATCTATGACCTTAGTGGCAAGGATTTAATTACTTGGAATAACTTCTGCCTTCCCAGGAAGCTGAGAAGCTGGATTGAAAGTGCAGCAACTAGGACTTGAATTCACACTTGTATAGGATGCTCTACTGCAAGGTGTGGCTTAGCCTGCTGTCAGAAATCAATAGAGGACATAAGATTGTGCAGAACTGAATGTTTTTATTATGGCAGCAGAGCAACCATCATCTCACAGGATGATGCACCAACACAGAGGTTTTTATGCTTTTTCAAAAGCAGAGTGCAAGTGGTGGGAAAGCAGCTGTGTAGGGAACAGATTAGCTGTTTCCATAAGGTCCAAATAGCCCATAACAGTTCAAGGGAGAGGGTAGATAAGTAGCTCTACTGTGGGAAGAAAATAAATCAGGCAACATTTCAAGGGACATTAAAACATGAGACACTGGGTCAGGTCTTCCCTAACTCCAGGCATGTGCACGGCTCTTGCATGTACACAGGAGGTCCTCTGCTTCCCGTCTCTTGGAATGTCTACCAGGCATCCACAACACCTACTGTGGCACATGCTCATCTTTGAGACATGTCCAGACCATCTTCTGAGTGAAATGTTAAACCACAATGCTGTTGCCTCTTTGTCCCAGAGTTTGAGAAGGTGTCCTTTAAATAAAGCATTAATAATTCTTTATTGGTTTTGCTTTTTTAAAAAATAGGTGTTTGTCCTTACCTTATGTCTGAACCAAGTTGCTTATGTTAAAAAAACATTTTTAACATAAAAATACTTGTATAAAAATGTTTACACAAATCCAGAATATGGTACTTTTGTATTAGGTACATCTGAGGAGCCATCAGATCATAGTGGTTAAAATCAGACATTAAACAGGTTGATTTTTGAATAATTCTCATATACCAAGAAAAGCCAGGCAAGAGAAGGCAGTTTCTGATTGTCACAAAAACCTGTTTGCAAACAATACTGCCAAAGCCTGAAAGTTTTATTATCAGTAGGTTCAAGGCAAGAACAAAGACCTGAAGTAACAAAGTACTAGGACAGGCTCTCCTACTCAGGTCAGCGTAGAGGACACCATGACTGGTTCTGAGTCAGTCAGGGGCTGGATGACGTAGCACCTGTGAGTCAGGGTAAGATTGAAGTTATTTGGACTTCAATTCTACTAGCAGATAATGAGCCTAGCAGCACTGCTGCTTTTAATCCTCTGGGCATTTCTTTACTGATTGGAAGGAAATTGCTATAAGATTGAGCCAACTTGAGCAGTTGCCCAGAAAACAAAGCCTAGGATATGCTCCAATCAAGCAGTATACCATACCATTGCCCCAGCCATCAAGAAGCTGGCCTTGCAATTGGGCTGCCTTAGAGTAAAACTAGCCCTGATTTAGAACATCAAGCCATGATATCTTAGGGGTTGAATTGCATCGTGTGCTCCAAGAAATGGAGAAGAAATCCAAGAAGAACACACCGTGAAACAGTGGAGTGCATCTGCAGGCCAAGGAAGGCAGGTTGCTGGAAACTGGTAAGGAAGAAGAGTTTTCCCCAGAGCCTTTGGAGAGACTATGATTCTGCTAGGATCTTGGATTGGATTGTGGCCTCCAGACCTGAGAATTCCTGAAGGTGGGGGAGGTTGTGGGTTTTTTGGTTGTTTTTTTTTATGTCATCCAACTTAACGGTTCTTTAGTGCTACAACCCTAAAACTTAATACTATCTCATTTCTGGAGACACAGTAAAGTACTGTCAGAAGACTCCAGCTCATGCTCCATGAGCAGGCCCAAGGACACTTGATCACTAAGGCCCTTGGTGGGGAGTTGATGAGTTGGGCAATAGGATATTGAAGAGCCTCAGCAAATGGCTACCCCCAGGGTTGAATCATGGCTAGCAGAGGGGATGATGGAACAGATGGTGGTGCATATTCATTAGATGCCAGGAGTTTGGTTATTATAATAACAGAGTGGCAGCCGAGGGGATCTAAGTTGTAAGGAGCCCTGGAGAGTGTTGGAGCACAGTTCATAAAATGAGCAACATAGAGTCTGCCAGAATGACTGAGGGGAGTTCATCAAATTCCGCATTTGTACCACTTTTCCAGACATGAACAATTTTTAGACCCAGAATCTATTGATAAGAGATGGCACAGTTCTGTGGGGGAAGAATCTAAGCAACTTCTGGGTTTAGACGAAGGTGAAGCAATGGGGAAAAATTGAATTTCAGGAATGAAGAGGACTGAAATAGCTACGCAGCCTAATGAAATAGATAAAAGATTACTTTCCCAAGCCCTGGTTATCAGACAAGCAAAGGACAGTGGCCCCTGAAGGAAAAAAAAGACAAATAGAGTGACCCCTGTCACTGGCCCAGCTTCGGCCCACCGGTGTTTCCAGGCTGCTACATGGAATGGAAACATGGGATGGAACCCAGCAGCCCCGTGGCATTGAGGAGACAATGCTGGAAGAGCTGGGAGGACAACCAAAGCTGTCAGGTCTGAGTACTAGCACACAGGGACGTGCAGAGAGCACCCCATGTCATGCAGCTGGCATCCAGGATCTCTGGCACAGGGGTGTCAGCAGCCAGAGCTGAAACCCTCCTCATTCCTGGGTTCCAGGGTGGACTGATTAGAAGAGTATTAACTTAAGAGGGAAACGAACAAGCGAACGAATTTTCAGCTAAGTGTTATTCCAACACGCACGGAGCAAACCTCAGGATGATCCAACCCTTGGCAGGTGACTCATCCTGCAAACAAAGCTTGAGAAATCACATACATGGAGACAATCAGCCCTTGAAATCCCAGCTGATGGTAAGTGGACTACATTGGGACTCTTTTTTTTTCTGGGAATGAAGTTACACAGGGGAACTATGTACCACTCAAACTCACATGTTGAAATCTAACCTGTAGCTTGGAGGGATGACTTACTTGGAGGCAGAATCTTTACAGTTGATGTTCAAATGAAGTCCTGGGAGTGGGCCCTCAGG